ATACTCCTCTTCCGACAGATTTTATTCCATTCCATATACCTCTTCCAACTCTTCTGAAGAAGTTTCCTATTCTTCCAAAGAAACCCATTTTACTATATGTAAAAATCTAATGTCCGCCTAGTCTCTTACGTTTCCTTCTGAGTTCCATAGCATTTTTTAACTGGAGCTCATACATTCTATTTCTCCTCTGGTAGAAAACATACTCTGGGTCAACTCCTGTGTTCGCGTCATCTGCATAGAGTTGTTTATATCCCACTTCAGGGTTTGTATAAAACTCTTTCCATCTCATATTTGCATACCATGGTGGCAAACCTAACGCAGCGTCATTTGACATGGCAGTTTGCATTTGTACATCTGTTGGCACTTGACCATAGTTTGCCATTGCAGTTTGTATTCTAACTTCATTTGGAATATTCTCTGGGTTTGGTTGTCCGGGTTTCTGTGCATTCGCTAAGTTCTGTGCGTCCATTTAATATTAGATAAAAATATCTCTTACGAGTACATATGCTGAACATTTGCTGGTATTGGTTCATCTTCATATTCTCTATATCTTTCTGCCACGTCAAATAAGTAAATGACACAATGGAAAAAACCTAAAACAAGTAGTCCTATTTCAAACCACATTTACTTACCAATAAAATTTCTTTGTTATGACACTTTCTCCGGTTTATAGGACCTCTCTCATATTCTATCTTATCGTATCTAAACTCATAGTCATGCATATCCTCTAACCATCTCATGACACTTTCCAAACCACTTTTATCGGATGTAAAGTAAAAGCATGGATGGTTATGTAAAACGTCTAAAGTTTCTAAAGAGTCTCTCAAAGTCCAGTCTACTTGGTATTGAAAATCATATGTGTTATAGAACGGCGGGTCTACTATAAAGAAAACATTTTCCTTGTTTTTATATTTTTCATACAACTCTGTCCAATGACATCTCACGAGTATATAAGAATTTCCGAAAAAGTGACACCCAAAAAGTGACACTTTCAATAGGGACTAACACTTAAAAAGTGACAATTTAAAATTCACAATAAATAAAAATAATAAATTTTTTAGTCTATTAAATTATTCTTTTCTTTGAAATCCTCTAAAAATTCTTCGAAATGTTCTAAAATATAATCTGGAGAATTATAACAAAATTCATTAATTTCTAACATATACGTATCTAACAATTCATTTGGAATTTCAAACGATCTTAAATATGTAATTGAATTTTGTATCTTCTCATTTATTTGAGAAAGTTTTTCTTCAGCATTTTCCAATAAAAATCTTAATGGATTCAAATTGGCTTCTTGATTCTGAACAAAATTTAATACTTGGTATAAACGTGATTGAACTTCTCTTTTCAATTTTGTTTTATAATCTGTCAATCGAGGCTCGCGAATTCTAATTGAAGGCATAAAACCTGTTTGAAGTAAATCGTTTTTAATACGATAAAAGTAATTGGGTGCAACTTCTTCTAAAAGATTTTTGACAAAAACATCAATTCTTTGATTTTTAACGCAGCCAAAATCGTGATATTTTATCTTTTTAAATAAAGATTCAGAAACGTTATTCACAACGGTTAATTCATTTGGTCTGGCAGCGGCTATCCACATCATAGCCAACAATTCCTTATACAAAATTCAAAAACTTGGGTGCAATCAGAACTGATTGCACCCAAGTTTTTGAATTTTCTTGAGGGAATTAAAGGGTGAGAGATTTATAGTCTATCTATATATCTCCCACCCTCTAATTCCCTCCCTGACAGCGGGAAACTTTGTCTGAATGTTAAACTATTCAGACAAAGTTTCCCACTGTTTGCGAAGGAATTGTTGGCTATGATGTACTGATTCATGATCAGTACATCATAGCCAACAATTCCTTATATAAAGTTCAAAAACTTGGGTGCAATCAGTTCTGATTGCACCCAAGTTTTTGAACTTTCTTGAGGGAATGGAAGAGTAAGAGGTATACATTATGAATATATACCTCTTACCCTTCCATTCCCTCTCTGACAGCGGAAAACTTTGTCTGAATGTTAAACTATTCAGACAAAGTTTCCCGCTGTCAGCGAAAGAATTGTTCCATCTGGTGCATAGAGTGTGAATCTATGCACCAAATGGAGCAAGTCCCTCGCGAAATTGCCAAAACTTGCGTCGCATTTCAAAGATTGCGACCCAAATTTTGGCGATTTCTAGTAGAGATGGAGTATTTTGAGTCACTGACCTATATGCAGTGGCTCAAAGGGCTCCATCTCTACTTTGAAGCAAGGAAACTTTCCTCGAAATTTTGATAATTTGAAGAAAGTTTTCAAGCAATTAACAAAGGATTACTCGCTATGAGGTAAAAATTCTAGATTTTCACCTCATAGCGAGAGCTTCCCTTTCATTGCTTGAAAACTTTCCCCAGCTTCAAAATTGGGGAAAGGGCTGTAAAGTCGACTCCGATACCAGCAGGTACCAGAGTATTTAAAAGAGAAGCCCTCGTACGAGTTTCTATGAAGACCTTCTCATTCAAAGAAGATCTTAATAGAAAATCGTACGAGGGCATTGGAAACTCGCGTCTGGTACATGTTGGTACCAGAGTGTTTGAGATTTGAAGACTCTGGTACTAACATGTACCAGAATTTATGATGAATTTAAGATGGACCATTATAAAATGGTAGCGGTTTGTTTCAAAAAATTTTAGATGAGATTTGCATAGATATAGATTATATGATTTATACATATGAAAAATAATATATAAAAATATAATTTTGAGATAATTATGTAAATAATATTTTAAATATTTGAATTTGAGGTATAATTTTATAGTAAAATATATTATAAAGAGTATTTATATAAATATTGTAAAATAATATAAGTAATAAAAATTGAGACCCCCTCCCTGTTTTTGATGTTTTGTCACTTTTTCGGTAATTCTTATTGTTTCTAGAACGGCGGGTCTACTATAAAGAAAACATTTTCCTTGTTTTTATATTTTTCATACAACTCTGTCCAATGACATCTCACAAACTCTATACCCTCAGTATATTTTTCTATGTTCTCTTTGAAAACCTTTGTATAGTTAAGATATAAAACGTTTGACATAAGTGTTTCAATGTCATGAACTCTTATAGAACCACTATACAATAGTCTAGCAGATATACTATCCCAGTCAATATACTCTGCTTTTTTCAAAACCTCTCTGACAGTATTTTTCTTATCTAATGGTATACGTTCCATCTTACCTATAGGTATCTTTTCTTTTAACTCTTTCAATATTTTGTTTGTGTCTGGTATATGTTTGAGACGGTTCATATAGTTGTCGAAGTCATTGCATATAATCTTTGAGTCAGGAAATATTGTATGGCACAAATGAGATATATAGAAACTTCCACCGAACAAATCTACAAATGTTAGACCATTCGGTAGTTTCTTAAGTTCTCTCAATAGAATATCTTTACATCTACTCTTATTTCCAAAGAAGGGTAACGGTGGTTTTGTAAAATTCATTTTATATTTAATAAAAATGTTTTTTTCCTGAAAAGTGACAGAAAAGTGACAAAACATCTTCGGGGCTAGAGGGCACGAAGTGCCTGGAAGCCCCAATACCTTTTTTTTTTTTTTTTTTTTTTTTTTTTAATTTGGATTAAATTTACTTGCATTTCGTTTCACCGAGTTTGATTTTGAAATCAAAATATTATCGATTATTCTTTTTTTTTATTAATTTCAAAAGACATGATAATGGATGAATCTCCTTCTGTTTGCTGTTAGTTCTTTTTCATATTCTTGCTTATTGGTTTTCTTGCAATAATTTAAATTGAAACTAGTATCTTTAAATAAATACTTGAAAACTTATTGAAGAGATTATTTAGAATAGTTGAATTTTTGGTTAATATTTCATATTGAAAATAACTTCATTGAAGCGATTTCCATTTTTTGCTAAAATAATATGATTCATTATTTCTCAAAATAAAATAAATGCAAAACAAACTTGATGACCACATTAGCCCTCAAAAATTTAATTCATTGAATTTTTGAGATCATAAACCGATGACATCTTATCAAAATAAAAATATCAGTTAATCGGTAATCGATTAGTAGTTTAATAAATGTATAACTTTATTCGATGATTTATCTTTTTCAATGTATGAATGAAAATTCATAGAAAGAATAGTCGATGCATCAAATAAGTAAAATTTGATGTATAATTGTAAGCACCGGCGAATTTTCTTAGGAATTTTAAAGGATTCTAATAATTTTGGGTGAATCAAATTTTATAAAATTTCAAAAAAATCGAAACATATTTTATAAACTATTATAATGATTGATAAAAATGTTTTGGATGCATTTTAAGTTAAATAAAATTAAGGTTTAATGGACGATTTAGATTCAAAAACAGTGAATTGGAGACATTTTCATAGCAATTTCTTATAGATTGATTCTTTGCAAGTATTAAGGATCAAATTTATAAATTGGAGTATGATTCCTTGAATAAATAATTTCGATTGATATTATTGGAGTTATTTTAAATAATTCAAATATGTATATAAACAACTATCTTTATATAAAGTTCATTGTATAAAATCAATAAATAAGCGCTATTTCCATAATTTGAATAAGAAAATTATCGAAAATTAGCATATTACGATATTTACAATATATATTAATGGAACACCAGTTTTGGCCTCTCAAAAAATCTGCATAAAATTCTTGGAACTCTATTAATTCTTCATTTTGAATTTGGAAAATTTACAAAATCAATACTATTCTTACATAATCAATAATATATAAATTAATTTCGAATATAATACTTCAATAAATGGATATTAACAAATTTTTGATGGGAAAAATAATTTTGAAAACCCAATTATTCAATTTAACCAATTTTAAAATTTAATAATTTAATATTTTAAGTATATGAGTAAATTTGCATTTTATTTGCAAAGATTTTACTTTGAAAAGAATTTTTGTATTGTAATGTGGTCTTGCCCACTCAAAATTGAGAATCATTCAATCCTATTTAATTTTAATGAAAGCTAAGAATCATAACTCTTGCCATATGTTTACAAAAGATGATGATGAAATGTTGACGAAAATAACTGAAGAATACATGAAACTACATAAGCATATCAATTGGGATGATATTTCAAAACAAATGGTAAACAAAAACCCTCGTCAATGTAAAGATAGATGGTTTTACTATTTGAATGACAAGATTGATAAGAGTCCTTTTACTCCAACAGAAAATTACATACTATTATGGTCAATTAATCAAATTGGTATGAAATGGACTCAATTAACCCAGTTATTCCCAAATAGAACAGATATAACAATCAAATCACAATACAGAAAGTTGATGCGTCGTAATGCAACACTAGAAAATGTATTTACTTTAGATACAGAAAAATATTATAAACAACCAAGAAAAGATGAAGATGATGAAAACATCAGATCATTAAATGAATTGGATCAATTATTTGCTACATTTGAAACTGAATTTATTTCAATTTAATATTTTTATAGCAAAAATTTATAAGCATTTCTTTACGTCCTAAATTATACTATCTTTGATACTAATAATATTTTTAATCTGAATATATCAATAATGTTATTTTTTTTATAAATTTTAATAAAAATGATTCTATTAATTTTTAAGTTTATTATTTGTAATATCATTATTGTACTAATCTCGACTGTTTAATTTTGGTGGTCTTTGTGATATTTGAACGATATTTTGACAGTTGAATTTTTTTTTCAAGCATATGACGATAAAAATAAATTCAATCTATACTTTAAGGGTGCACCCGTATGTACGTTTATTTGAGAGGAGGAGGATTACCCTCTCAATTTTGAGGGATTCGTTAGTTTATTTTCTCGATGAATATGCAATAAAATTTGATTTTTACCTTATCAATATACTTCATATAATATACACATGTTCATGTAAAAACTTTTTTCCAAAATCCTCAGGAATTAAGGGATTTTTGAATTTTAAGAATTTTTTTCGAATTTTTTCGAAAAAAAAATATTTTCAGAACAGCCTTAACGGCTAAGATTTAGGAACAATGTTAAGTATCAAAAAGAAAGGAAGTCTGATATAGACAACATATATCGTTGAAGGTTGAAAAAATCTCTAATATTTGAGCCCAAAATTTCAAATTTTAATTTTTGAAAAAAGAGGCCACCCGTATGTATGTTTATTTGAGAGGAGGAGGATTATATTTTTGAAAGGGTGAACATTATGAATATGTTAATTATATAATAATATGTATTATTATAAAAAAGAAAAAATAAAGCACGTTAAAATTTTTCTTTCTTGATTTTTTACAAAATCTACTTAGAATTATGCAAAATATGACTAAATAATTATAAATTTCAAGTTAAATTTTAATTTTGATAAATAATTTAAATTTCAAAATATCAAGTTCAGTTCGACTATGTATGTAGTAATTCCTCAATAAAGTGCCAAAACCCTATTAAAATATATGAACATTTTCAACATTTTAATGTTTTTATTTAAAAATTTGTTGGAATATGAGCTTCAAACAATTATTATGTAAATAAAAATAATTAAATATATGTATTTATTCGTATTACAACCGTAGTAAGTCGATTCTTCCTTTCTTCTACTGAGTTTTGAATTTGATTTCGAATTGTAAAGAGATTCAAAGGGAAAATACTAGCGGATAAAAACCACCTCCATGAAAGGGTCATAATGGACTCAAGTTGTATTTTTTGATATTTTTTGCTTTTCGAGCCTAAATAGGTAGCCAAGATAATGCCTAAAATAAGGTTCTAAATTCTGAAGTTTACATGATCCTCTCGTGTGCACCCTTAATTTATCTAAATATTTTAATAATTTCAAGTTTCTTTAGTATGTCCTATATATACATGGAACGATGAAGGTAAAATGTATGGCCTCACACAGCGCCCAGATAACTTTCAAAGGTATTTTTCCGAAAATGTTTCACTTCATTCTTTATAAAATTATTCTTTTGTATGTGAATTATTGATAACAACTCAAATTATCTGAACGTAATTAATATATAAAATTTGAAAGACGGAATTGTTTTATTCAAAAAAACTAATTCCGTTGATTCAATTATTTAATATTTGCATGACCGATAAGATCTCTATCAGATATATTCATTGAGGTCTGAACCCGTAACAATTCAATAATTATTGAAATTTGTAAACATGAACAATTTTCAAAATAAATTTTTAAATAATGAACCAATCTCCGCATAAATCCACAAGGCAAATGTTCACACCAGAAGAGGATGATAAATTAAGAAAAATCATCATGAACATGAAGTCAAATAATTTGCCTTTGAATTGGAATATGATTTCTGAACAAATTGGAAGTAAAAATCAGCGACAATGCAGAGATAGATGGATATATTATTTAAATGAAAAAGTTAACCACACACCATTTACTCCATATGAGAACTATATGATTTTGTGGCTGATCAGTAAGTTCGGAAAAAAGTGGACACAAATAACACAGTTATTTCACAATAAAACTGATGTTTCAATCAAATCTCAGTATAAAAAGCTTATTAGAAGAAATGCAACATTAGAAAATGTGTTTACAATCAGCAATGCAAAATATTATAAGCAACCCAAAAACCATCCTGTTATGTCAAAGAATTTGCAACAAGACTTCCTTAAAGAAGCAAATTTTTCGGAACAAGTCGAACAAGAAAGCGAGTTTCTTTTTGGATGATTATTCTTGTATGATTATTTTCATTTTAATAGAAATAAAGCATGAGATATATCCGATATACATTTTTTGCATGTTATTATAAAATTTGAGTGAATAACATTTTTTGATGAAATCTGGCCCAATTCAAATTATATTAGGAAGTTTCAATTGCCAAATTAAAAATAATATAATATAATGATATGGCTGATTATTGATAAAACTATAGAAATTCATACCTTTCAATTTTTTGTAAATATATCAATTTTATAGTTAATAAATGTTCGTGAAGAAATATTACATAAATTGATATATACAATAAAACATCTCAAATTACTCCTCTCTCAATCTCTATCGAATAAATAAACTAAATTTTTTTATATTCAAAAGGATTTTTGCAATTCTTATAAAATTATGGATTACTATTTATCTAACCATTTTGCATATTTGTATGTCAATGTTGTTTAAGTTATGAGTTTATCGTCCGGCTCTCAAAAATTGAGATTCAATTTATTAATGAATCAGGCGCAGCAGAATCATCTAATCAGGAATAAATTTACGAAAGATGAAGATGAAAAGCTTAAATCAATAATGCGCGATTTTATGGAGCACAAGAGAAAAATTGATTGGGACGCAATCTCAAAGTTGATGAAGACAAAAAAACCCAGACAGTGCAAGGATAGATGGTTCTATTACCTTGATGATCACATAGATCATACTCCCTTTACACCTTGGGAGAACTATATCCTGTTGTGGTCAATAAATAATATTGGCAAAAAATGGACTCAAATATCAACACTATTCCCAAGACGAACAGATGTAATTATAAAGTTGCAATACCGCAAGCTCCTAAGAAGAAATGCAACACTCCAAAACGTAATGGAGGTTAGCACATCCACAAAACTGAATCGATGCGACCATAATTTGAGCTCAGATTCAACAGGTGGAGAAGAAGACCCTCATACAGGTGGTATAATGGACCTTTTCGATAAAGAGGTCGATCATCTATCTCAAGAATTGTTTGAATCTCAGGAAATTAAATTTTAAATCATGATATATAAGGGTTTCGTTTTGCGAAAAAAACGTACAATACGCAATTTCGCTAAAAAAACATTTAGCTAGCAATTTCGACCTTTGACTCCACTCAAGACGTCACTTTTTTAATTTTGCGGTATCATATTTTTGGAAAATCTTTATGAATATTATATAAAAAGTCTCTTTAATATCTATATTTCATATTTTTATCGATTTTTAAAGTTTTTGCGAAAAGTATTCAATTATTTTTGCTATTTGGTCGGGTAAATGTCAGATTTGCGACATTTTCTGATATGATATTCAGATTCTACGTTGATAATAATGCTTATAGTGATGCATGCTAAGATCAGTCATAATGTAAACCTCTCAATTTTATTGTCGTGGGAAGTATCTCAATTCCTTCAAAAAATTGAAAAACTATTTAATTTTAAAAATATAATACTTTTAATTAGTTAATTAATTGGAGATATTTTTAAAAAATCACTTTTGATAATACTTTTGAGAACTTTAATTAAAAAAATATATTCAAAAATATCCAGGATATCAAGAGGGAATTGTTCCTTATGAGGTATACATCATAACTATATACCTCATAAGGAACAATTCCCTCCTTAAAATGAGAAAACTTGTTCGAAATTGTTTATCATTTCGAACAAGTTTTCTCGTTTTTAATAGGAAACTAAAGGCTATGAGGCACTGATTATATATTAGTGCCTCATAGCCTTTAGTTCCTAATAGATAGCTGGGGAACTTTCTCCAAATGATAAGTTATTCAGAGAAAGTTTCCCAGCTATCAAGAGGGAATTGTTCCTTAGAGGTATATAGTTATGATGTATACCTCATAAGGAACAATTCCCTCCTTAAAATCGTAGACATTTTTATACTTATTAATCAACCATTCAAAATCATATTCCTCTGAAAAGTTATTTTATTAAAAATTTAGAATTTTAATAAATATAGAGTTTGAATTTCATACAATACCTATATATTTTCAATAATGGGATTTGAAAACCATTCTCAAAAGTTCTCAGAAAACCTTTTTTTCATTAATTTTAAGAAATCTGAGTATTAAATTAAGTGATAAATTCGTTTGACACTACTTTAATTTTTAAATTCAAAAAATTATATGTGCTTCTTAAAATGACTCAAAAAAATTTTATTATAAAATAATATATAATATTAAAAATCCCACAACATTTTTTTACTTTACATAATCGTACTTCCTCGACGATTAATTTCCACTCAATTTCTATCGTTGACCGAACTTAGCATGCAACAATAGAACCCTCTTGCTATTGTGTCAAAATTGCGAAACCGATAGCAAAAATATCTCGCAATATCAAAATTGAGATATTGGGTGAATTATGCATTATAGAGATTCAAAATCTGATTTGTGAAAACATCTCATCAGTTTCTAGCTAATTCAAAAATCTTTACTATCTTATTCGATTAAAATGAAAAGGGAATAGTTTCATTATGCTTTAAATGACAGCCTTATAATATAATCATAGTTTTCGCTCAATATGCAGCATTTTTTTTTCGAAATCTATGGTCAATATCCTAAATACTGATTGCTTTGCATTCATATCTCTTACATTTTCTATACCCACATCACTATTCATTGCTATTCCTATCTTTTTCATTTTTGTTTGTTTCTCATAATTTCTCAAAAAACACGATAACTTGATATTTGTAAATATCATACTTTATAACGTAAATAAGAACTTGACCTATTAAGAAAAGCAGTAATGAAAAGAAAATCTGAAATTCATAAAAATTACAAGTTTCTGATGACAATTAGCTTAATTAAACCAGGTACAAGATTATATAATTGTATTTTCTATCCAATTATCCATATAATATCTTATCCAGAAAAAATAACTTGATCAATACCAAATGATTTTTTAACTAGTAAATAAAGTATTTTCTTTACACACACATTGTATATCATAGTTTTTTTTTTTGGTTTCGCAAAACATCCAAAAACAAATATGCTATAAAAGTGACAATTTTAGCAAAACGAAACCCTTATGATATATTGTATACTATATATTTGGTTTTATTTTAATAACTTTTTTAAGCCAGTGACATCTTCTTGTCAGACTATTGAAATGCTTGCTTTTGAAATGACTCACAATTTTGAATGATGACTAAACAAAAATATTCAAAATGTCAGAAAATTGGAGATTTTATTTCTTAAATTTTGTTCAATAATACTAGTACATTATAAAAATATTGATTAACAAAAATTCGGTAAACTCAGAAATTATGAAAAATCGAGGCAAATTACATATCCCACCGGCGTAATTACAGGTAGAGTTATTTAATGTAATTTAGGATATTTAGGAAAAATGATGGGATTTCCTTGAAAGAAAAGCTTTTTGAAAATGAAAATATTGGATTCTATTAATATAAAACAGATATAATATGCACAGAGATGTAAGGTATTATGTTGGTTCAAATTGTTTTGCTGCAATTAAAATAATTATGTGAAATTCAAATCAAATGAAGATTTCATCGCAGAAAACAATTGAAATCTCGAATATATTATGCGGAGAAGCTGGATATATATTATAGGGAATTTCTAAAAAGGATGTACAGGAAATCATTATAAATAACTCATATTATGGATATTTCCATCGAGGATATTTGTTGGTAATATGAAAAACCGTGTCCTATTTAAAGTTCTAATCAATTCATTCCAAAAAATTAATTTTTGGAAAAATTAAATCAAAATGACTACAGTTATTCATGGTGGATGATAAATATTATACATTTGTTCTTTTCATTATTTTTTTTTTTGAAATTTGTAATTTTCTGGGTCTGTAATTAATAAATGATTGTTCAATATTCTCCGTATATTCTAGAAATATGTTTGTTCAATTCAGTCCATTTGTCTTTGAATTTTAAAAAAAATATTTGTGTAATATATCGTTTGATATGAATTGATTTTCTTTCTAATCAATTCTCAATCAATTAATTGTGATCTGTGATAAAATATTTTTCTAAAAATATTAAAAAAATATATATTTTTGCGAAAATCCAAAAGTTTTCTTGATGAAGTTCCTTGGAATGCATTTTCCATGCGATTTGAAAGCAATTGCAAAAATTCCCTAAAAAGAAAAAGGTCTAAATCCAAAATTCCCAAATGTACTAACGATTCACAAAGTTTTCAATATGTATTCTCAAAAATTCAATCAAATAATTCTCTGAAAATAAATACCGGTTTCGGATAAATTTTATTCATTTGTTATTGAAAACTTTGATATCTATCATTTTTTATTTAGGTTAAAAACTTTTTCAAATGATTGGTCGCTCTTTCGACCACAAATTCTGCATCTCTGCTTATTGTTAAGTTCGAAAAAAACTCTTATTGAGGATTTAAGTTTCAGTTCTGCATTCAAAAAATTCAAATATTCAATTATTCTTTCAAATAAAGGCCACCTAATCTCCTTTAATTCTTTTCGGTCTATTAATATTTGATTAGATTATTTTAATTCGATTTTTTCATAATTAATTTATTTTTCTTCACATACGGGTTACTTTTCAAACGCACGCGCCTAATATTTTTTATTGTTTATATCTAATTGAAGATACCCATTGAAAAAATGAAATCTATCTATCCTCATATTCATTATTGTTATGATAAATTTTATTTTCCTATTCGTTAAATCATATGCAACACATATTTATTGTGTATGCCAGCATAGCATGAAATTTTAAATTTAATACAAAAAAATTAAGAATCATTTTTTCAAAAAGATATCATACATAACATTTACTGAATTAATACATTTCCATCACTTCCTAAATCAGGGTTAGGAAGTAAAACATCGTCATTGTTATCTGTAGGGTTAATATTATCTTGAACGAGGTTAATATCTTGATAATTATCAGGATTCATCATATCTCTAACCTCTTGTTCATTCTCATTCTTATTTTCATTTCCATTATACAAATCATTCATATCATCGGTGTTATCAGATTGAACATCTGAACCTTCAGGAAGAGCTTCGACCTTCTTTGCGAATATTCTTGGCTTCCTGACGAAGTATATAATAGCGAATATGACTGCACCAACAACTGCTGCAATCAAAGCTGCAATTCCGATCCATGACAAAGGTGGTAAACCTGCTTTATTTGAGCCGCTACCTTCCTGGTTATTATCTGTACCACCTGCATTAGGACTCTTTGTTGGTGTTGGTGTTGTTTCTTCTGTTGGAACTGATTCAGGAATTGATTCTGAAGGAACTGGTGTCATTTCAAATGTTCTCACTGGTGTTGGTTCTGGAGTTGGCTCTGGTGTAAGAGGGGATGCTCTTGGAGTTATATGTGGTGTTCCTGCTGGTGTTTCTCCATTAGTTTTATGTGCTGTTTTATATGGAGTATTAAATGGAGTTTCTTTAGCAGTTAAATATGGAGTATTAAATGGAGTTTCTTTGGCAGTTAAATATGGAGTATTGAACGGTGTCTCTTTGGCTGTCAAATGAGGTGTAGAAGCAGCTGTATTAAATGGAGTATTATGTGCAGTATTAAATGGAGTATTAAAAGCTGTTTTAAATGGTGTTGTTACTGGTGTCTGTTCTGCAGTGATGTATGGTGTAACAACTGGTGTTTCCTGCATAGTCATAAATGGTGTTTCATCGACCAAATATGACATTGTTCCGGTATATGGAAGTAAGTTGTAGCAGATATAAAGGTTCAAGATATCGAAGTTTGTAGGATATACTGTGGTCGATGTTCCTACACGTGTCTTCTGAAGATTTGGAGCAATAACTGAATAAGTATCAAAATAGCAGTCTCTAATGATTGTTGGGCTGCCATTGAGTGTAAGTTGGGCGTTAGTGTTCAATAAGAAGAAGCACCATTGCATGTAAATGCTGCTTCCTGTTTGAATCATGTTCGTGGTTGATGAGTATTGGTTTCTGTTGAAGTCACAGTATTCGAATCTGCTCGAACTCATACCGTTAAACAATGACTTCTGGCAAAACTCAAAGTTTGCATATTTGAAATTAAATTTTGTAGAGCTTTGGAAAACTGCACCGCTGTTCTGGATGACTTTAGAGATGTTTATGTTTGTGAAGTTCTGTACTTGTATTTCTTGGGAGTTATATGTACCATAACCCGTTTGAGGAATGCTTGCAATGGTCAAAAGGTAGAACTGGAGGGAATCATCTGATTTCATTTGGAAAATTCCAAAGTTGCCATTGTTAGAAGTTCGGCAGTTATAAACGCAAACAGAATTGAATGTTGAAGGGAATGAATTTCCTGTATTAATGTAAATTGTGCCACCCGCATTACCATTTTGTACATTCTTGAATTCAATACGAGTCATTTTTAAGGATCCTGAGCTTCCAGAGAAAAATAACGCACCACCATCTGCACTTGATGTGATGTCATCGAAAACAACATCAACAAAATCAAAATTTCCATTTCCAAGCTGTTCTCTATAGTTATGTGTGGAAACCTGTTTGGATAAAATTAGGAGAGAAAAGAGAAACATTGGAATTGAAAAATATTCTTTTCAGACAAAATTTTGAGAGTCTCTACCGTGGGAATTGAATCTCACAGAAATTTGTAGAATGGTTATAGTGTATATGAATATAAATGAATTCTTGATAATAATTGAAATTGTTTGATATTGAATAAATCTAATTGAATTATTCTTTTCGAGGAGAAAAATAGAATTATAAATCATAAACAATATATTATCACCTTATAAAATTTGATTTTTCCTTTCAAATTATTATCCAAAACCACAATGGCAGCTATTTAAATGCCATTTATTATAAATGTCAAGAATAAGTCAATTTGGAGGATAAAACGATATAAAGAATTTTGTCAAAAAATATTCTCTCACAAAAATTCTGAACTTGCGAAGTTTTCTTAAGTTTTAGATATGCTTATAGTATGGCATTCCAAACGGGAACCGCGGTTGGTTACCATGGATTTCCGTCACCGGTCACATTTTAAAGATTTTTAAAGCCTTATAAAAATATGCTTTGTAAATCATTTTTTGTAAATCGGCAAAAATTTGGTAATTTTCTTCAACTAATAAATCTGCGAATAGCATTTATAATACAAGAACAATCTTTTAAAATGCGTTTGATTCATTTTTGTATAATTTCATATAGGCACATATATTCTTCCGGGACTTTCCGTGATTTTACCGTAAAATCATTAGTTTACACCAATTTTTCCGTATTTTGAATAGTTTACTGCACTTTTTCCGTAAAATTGAGTTACGGGAATCCGCAAAATTTCCGGACCTCATTTTTCATAGAATATAATAATAATATTTGATAAAAAGATATATTATTTATATTTTTGATTTTTGAATTACGGAAAAAGTGAATTGTTAACTTGATTTTTTATATGGTTAATTTTTCAAATGATATTATGAAGATCTAAAATATTAAAAGTAAAAAATTGAATTACGGAAAAAGTGAGGTCAAAAGTGAAATAAATTTGCAGAACAATTTTCATTGAAATAAGACATTGAGTATCACACTTTAGTGAATCAACATCTATAAGAATGAAGTGTTTTGAAGCTGAAATAATATTGAATAGAAATTAATTTTTTCTGAAATTTTGAATGAAATTATGGGAAATAAAAAAATTACTAAATATTGTATTCATACAAATATATTATTTTAAAGGAAAAATAGATGCTGATAGAAACGATGAAAAATTTTGAAAACTTTACAATTAATTTATGTTCGTTAACCACAGAGCTTGCAATCCAAAGCTCACGTTAGACTACAAGAGTCATGAAGTCTCATACTAAGGGATATCCAACATATATTTTAATAATCTAATGTTTGTGACAAATATTCAACATAAAATTAAGTTTTCGTTTCGTTACAAGGCATTCATACTTTGGAGATATCATATTTAATGTACAGAAAAGTTAATATTAAACAATACATGCTAAAGAATTAATAAATAAGATAATAAAATAAATTTATACGTAATTACTTTCATTTAATATGCTTTATGCTGTATAATATTGATTAAGAGGCATTAAAAGGTTCCATAGTCTGCTTTTATAGGCAAGATTTTTGATAAAAATTTAAAATTTTGAAAAATGATGAGAAAAGGAAAAAAAAGGTAAATGAGAGCAAGAGGAGGGAAAAAAAAGAAAAAGAAAAGAAAGGGAAGGGAAAAATAAAAGAAAGAAGGACATATAAAAATTTAGATGCGCATTCTTAATGCCGAGGCGGCTTGCCGCCGAGGCGCGATTTTTTTAGGCCTCTACGGTAACCCGGCAATGTTTTTTTAAATCTTGTACAGCCCTAGCTTATAGTAACGAGAGGATACCTAAATATCAAAAATTTATTTCATAAAACCGTTTTTACTTTTTTTTCACAATGGTCATTCTCAGTGTTTCATTTTTGAATTTCTAGAATTCATATTTGGAGCCATTTATATGGACTTATTAAATAGTCGAAATCACGATGATTTTAAATCTCGAAAACAATTTTGAAATAATGGTTGACATTGACATATTATTAAGTTCTATTTCAAATGCCAAAATAAAATGAACTAAAAAATATTAAATAAATTTGAACAATTATTTTGGTAATTTTATGCTATGTTTAAATACAATAACCACTTTGTAGAATCAACTATAAACATAAAAAGAAACTAATGAAGTCCTTATATCAAGATGATATTAAAAATCTGAAATAATCAAAGAAAAACGTGAAATAAAAAAGGTAGGTCCACAAAAAATACGTTATTTCGCAAGTGAAAAAAATTCTCATGAACAACTTCAAGAGGATTTTTCACAGTAATAAAACTCCAAACTTCTCTTAATTATGGAGAGAAATTGAAGTTTTCTTCATGCATAGTAGTTTAGTACTTTGTATTTACATTAATGTCAGAAACAATGTTGACATATATTCAATTTAAAATCGATGTCATTTATACTTAATAAGAATATATCCAATCGTTCTCTTCTTTCAAAATATAAAGCTCTACAAAGGAAATTGTATAGCTTAAAATTTAATAATCTGCCCCGATACTTTGAACGATGAAAATCGTAAGCCACTGCAATAAGATTAATCCTCAATTGTTGTATATATTGATATCTTACTCTCATAAAAATCTGCAAGACCGTTTTCGCGAAAAAGTCATTTTACATACATGCGTTACTTAAAACCATAAAAATAATACAAAATACTGAAAGTCTAGATATAATTAATAGACTCTAAATATAACCGCTGCGCTTAAAACAAGAATTAACAAATTTGTCGATATTCACTCAACAAATTGAAATTTCATCAATAAAGCAAGAACAAAATGAGATACAAACGGGAACATGAAGAATTTATCTACTAAAAACTAATTTATAACTAATATACGACAAAAATTCACGCTTAATCCCCGAATTGCAGCAAATAACTTGAAGATTTTGTTTCATGTTGCTTACAAAAGCAAACTACATAAAGTTTTTGAAGTAAAACCTTTTAAATACACTCAAATAAAAATTTATACTAATACCTTTTCTCTTTTTTTAAATAAATATATTCTTATTCATTCCCTAAAACAACCCATTATATGAATATCATGAAATATGTCAATAAAAATAAATTATAATAATAATCCAAAATATTCATATCAGATATGGGAAAAAAGACAAATCTTGGAACAAGCATCAAAAATAAATAATGTTTAGAATTCCAAAATTTTTTCATTTTGCAAATTTTCATATAAATTTCGTATTTCTTCTCTTGATTTTCAAATTTTTGAATTTTTTTTGGAATTTTAAATGAAGAATTGAGAAACCTAATATAGATGGTTGTTATCTCATATGTGAATATGTTCGTTTTATTTCATAGTTTGGAATTTTCTCAGATTTTATGGTGAAATTGAGTTTCTATCACAGGTTTAGATAGCATATTTAAGGACAGATTACATGAATTTATATTTTCATCAATATGATATATTGAAATAGGAGACGCTCAATATTATAATGTCTTTCTTAGGATTCCAAATATATTCAAATTTCCTGAAACTACAATTTCGGTAGTTACTAGCCACATATGGGAAGCAATACACAAATATCTAGTAGATGGTATATCATTTTATATCGCAAAATGAGTATCTCAGGAAAAATTCTAGATACTTTTTCAAAACATACAATAACGCAAGATCTATTCTGTAAAACCGATTAATAGTACAAATATGTTTATTTGCAGGTCAAAGAATCGAATGTTAATTTTAATAATATTTCCTCGAAATCGCTCTTGCAGTTTTCTTCCATTCTTCGTCTATTAGTCATTGAGTACCTACATAGTCTAAATCCATTACCAAAATCAAGAAAGCATCGTTACGATTTTGTGGACCTACCTTTGAAATAAATAATTATGTCTCTTCAAATATCTATTATATTATATATTGATAATTTCAAAAATTTTTATCGACATTATTTTCAAATAATTTCATTAATTTTTTGATCTCATTTTAAGGGTCCACTGTAAGGCCAAATAAGGTCTATCGTCGTCCCAAAAATATTGCTCGAGATGGTGTTTTACTAAGGCCCAAAACTTAAAAAAACACAAAAAAATTAACTTTACTCTTTTGAGATCCTTATCAGATATGCATCAATTTGATGCAGTATCGCAGTTCAAATCTGATTTTTTAATGTAGATGTACTCTAACATCCTTTAAAAAATGCAAAATGATATTAATTAAGCTTTTCATTTCTGTATCATACACGAAACAAAATCGTTCATTATACTAAAATTTATCAAAGTTTGATTAATGAAAAAATAATATCTAAATTTTTACATTGAGTCGGCTATTGATATGGTTAATATTAAATCTTGTAAAAATTGGCATTATCCAGAATAATACCCACTAAAATACACAATTTTTTTAAAAAAAATTTTATCAATTGTTATGGTATATATTTATGATAATGAATAAAATGCTTATTTTTCATAAGTAAATACATAATTTATGCTTAAACACAAAAAATAACACGAAAATTTTTGGCCAACATATCTAAACTAAGGATAATGGTTTGAATATATAAACAATAATACTTTGTCCAGGGAATTAAATTTGTGCTATCCAATTGTCAATTCTTTGAATTTTTTTTAAATGCAAGATATCCCGGCATTAGCCTCAATAAATATATATATTATGCATCATAATATTAGTTTGTAATGACATTAAAGCGAAATTCCTAATTTCTTCTCAATTAAATTCCTTGAAAAACATTGGAATTAATGATTGGAAATAGGTCAAAAAAATTCCTAATATAAAACTTATACTTAAGATAAAATTAAAATTCGAAAATATCTATTTTTCAAAACACGCATCCAAAAGCGAAAAAATTCGAAAAAATCATGTTCTTATAAAACTCACTGATTTTGCAATTTTTATGAGATTTGAAGTGATAGAATATATTACCATCAGATATCTAGGTTCGTCCGAAAATTTTGATTTTTATATAGAAGACATAGTTTCATATACATAATTAAATTTTCAAACAAATTTGATCATACCATTTATTAAGCAGGATAGTATATTAATTACTATCAGTATAAAAATATAAAAATGATTATATTTAATTATTGCATAATTTAGTCAAAGAGTTATAAGCCTCAAGTGATCGTTATCACCTTCAATGCACGTATACTTTATTGATTCATAGATATTTAATCTATGTTTGACATGTTGTTGTCGTCATTCGTTTTGTTCCCATTCTTCCTAAGTTAGAATTAGAGAATACACCATCCACATCATCTAATTTGGTCCTCAGCGATAGATTGGTTCATTTTGGAGGAGTCCCATAAGACAGTTTTCGAGCACCAAATATCAAATTTTAATGTATACAAATCTTTAGTGATTTATCTCTTTTATGATGAGTAAAAGGTTTCTGCTCATCAACATTTGATTTCCGACATATATGATTTCTAATTGCAATTATTTACTTTCTTTTTATAATCTAACTCTGTGACTCATACCATAAATTAATTATTGGAAAGTGTCAATATGTTTGGTACAACGCATGGCGGAAGATACCAAACCATGCAGGGAATATGATACGTTTAAGATCTCCGAACTTTTTTTCCAAAAATTTTCTATCGTTGCCCTACCTCTTTACCATCTTATTCAAACATATGCTTCATTGTTGTATTCACATAATATTAATCAGAACACTAGGAAAAGTGGATTTTCGAAAAAATAACGATAACGATTATTTGCAAATCGCCTCTCAATTTTGAGAGACTTTCAATTTTTACAGTGGACCCTTAAAAAAAATAACATGAATTAAGGGTTTTTCTTTGTTACATTGTAAATAATCGAACAGTAATTCTAACACTATTCTAGAAAAGCTCAAATCAAATAGCAAAAAGTCTTAGCGACAGTACAATTTTTATCCATAAAAGTGGTTTTTTATGATTATCAGATCACATGTCTTTTAGTAATTTCCCACTAAATCTCAGACCTTCAACTTATATATAGATTAATTTACTTGTTTTATGCACAATTTATTTCTATTTATTACAATTTAACATTTCCATATCTAATTTAATTAATAAAATTGCCATTCTCTTACAAATTCTCAGACCTTTCGAAAGGTGAAAATAAAGTATATATAGATAATAATTATGTTTATACATTTGAATATCCCTGCAAAACAACATATGATTGTGCTCATTACGAAGTCAATTTTCCACCAGGAAAATATCTCCTTGAAGTTTGGGGAGCACAAGGAGGAGGATATTTTTATGAAAACGGCAGCCCAGGCGGTTACTCAAAAGGTATTCTTACACTGAAAAGTGAGACCAAAGGATTTCTATATATCGGCGGGAAAGGAACTGCAGAAAAAAATAAAGGTTTTCAAAAAGGTGGATTCAACGGTGGTGGAAACGGAAAGTATTATGATTCATCTACCAAATATGGAGCTGGTGGAGGTGGTGCAAGTGATATTCGCCTCGAAAATAACTCATTTTATGCACGAATAATAGTTGCGGGTGGTGGAGGGGGGTCATCATATGGATACACTGAAGTTGAATCCTCAAATAATAAATATAATAATAATGGAGGTTCTGGAGGAGGTTATCAAGGCGGTGATGGAATATTTTTGATTACAAATAAAGATTATGCAGCATATGGAGGAACTCAATCCAGTCCAGGTGCAGGAGTGAATTACGATTATCGTACTGAAGCTGAATTTGGAAATGGAGGATCATTTACGTGCACTTCATGTAATTACGGTAGTGCTGGAGGTGGAGGAGGTTGGTTTGGAGGTGCTGCTGCTGGAGGCTATGGATATAGTGGTGCAGGAGGTTCAGGATATGTTCTGACATCGACTTCTTTCAAACCAAAGGATTATATTTACAAGAGAGAGCATTTTTTGATGAAAGCATCAATGAAGAGTGGAATCACGTTGTTGGATTTTGTTGAAAACGAAAACATTAAAATTCATGGATGCGGTCTTTCTGGTTTTAGTTTTTCACAACTTGTTTCATTTATAACTCTACCTTCAGTTGTATAACTTTCCTTATTCTATTTTCTTTAATTTTTGTTTCTAATTTTTTGTTATATTAATAAAAAAAAATATCCGAGTAATAAATATTCAAGCAATAGTATATTGCTAAACATGATATAAATTCTTCTGATCTAAGAGGTCTTTTTCAAGATCAATAATTTAAGAACGAGTATTCAAATTGTTTTCTTCTTTACATTGTAAATAAGTGCACTATATCTATGATGCATATGAGCCTAATCCAAAACAAATCGTAAAAGGGTTTATAGCACCTACTTTCCAGATAAAATGAATTTTTTTTAGTTGGGGAAAAAGTGACTTTTGGATATGGAAACCAATTTTGACAGAAAGTTAAATAATATAACTAATTACTATGAAGCTTTTAATATGACATGGTGTGATTTTTCTGTGAATTTCAGGTCACATGTCAATTTATGAAATGGAAAAACTAAAGGAATATGAAAAATATGGATTTTTCAAGTTCAACACTTTGTCAAACAATCCTCTTACTGAAACATATAAGACATTCATGCAGAATATCAAATATTTAAGGGGTGTTTTCCTTACAGAAATGTTTTATTGTGATGGAGCAGATTTTTTTGGTGTACCAAATGCACCTGACTTATTTGCTTCCATTCACAAAGAATGTAGACCGAGTAATCGCGTGATTGCTCATATACTTTGCCAGAAAATTACTACAAATATCGTTCAATTTTACAATGAACCAGTTGCTTACTCTACTTTTGTTGCCAAGTACTTAGAAACAGATCCAACAAACCATTTTCTATTTGCTTACAGTACTTTTCCAGCCATGTTTTGCTATTTTGCATCCGAAGAATTTTTAATTGCCGGTTCTCAGTTTATTCGCACTTTTATTTATAACAACAACGATCTTATCACGTCAGAAGCACTAGTAAGCTCGTTTTTCCACTGTATTCCTTCTTTTTATTCATTTTTTTTATCAACATTCGCGCAAAAAACGCTTTACTTCTACGAATCCACTCCATTCGAGTCATACTATAAAGCGTTCAAAGAAGTACTCTTGCAATCTCTTCCTCTCCTTACTTATTCCCATGTTCAAGTTGTTTTATTATTAATTCAAAAATTTTCAGACGAAGAAGCCAAATTTGTTATAGAAGATGTTTTCTACAAGCACTACCTTTCCTACAAAGAGTTTTCTGGCTATTTTACAGATAATACTTCGAAAAAAGGTTTAGAAACGTTTTTCAAGCGGTTAATTGACGAAAAGTCACTTGAAGTCATCGATATAATGTCCTCTACCGGCATTGTTTACAATCCTTATCCTAAAATTCAAGGAATTCATTGGTTCCGCGGTTGTCCGACGATAATGAGTGAGTACGATGTTAAATTACTTATAGATATCATCTCTTCTAACGACGAGAGCTCTTATTTACAGGATTCGAAGAAAATTCATTTTTCTGAAAATTGGAATCCACTTTTATTCAATATTTTCCCTGATTTCCTATCTAACACCTCCATCTATGACCGTCTGGGCGATGCATTATTCGGAATTCAGCCGGATAAAATAGATATCCGTGAAAACCCAACTTTTGAGAGGATTTACAAGAACGTTGCCAATGAATGTGAACAAAATAACCTGAATATCATAGATTTTGTCGAAGAAAAGTTCCCTGATATCATGAAATACGGAGAACTCATTGAATACATTTACAACCGAGCCAACAATGATTGTTATCGAAACTTTGATACATTGCAACAGTATATTCTTGATATAGAGACTCTAGAGAGTCATCAAAATTATACTCAACTAATTGAGAACCATTTGAGCATAATTTTCCATAGGTTTGCTTATGATTTCATTTCTAAAGCGACTTCTGCTTGCAAAGGCTCCGTAATTCAAAAGGTTTCCTCATGTTATGATTTGATTACATGTAACGAAAAGATTTCTACCTCTGTTAGCTTCTCCATGTGGTGTGCGGCCTTCGATGCTATTTATTTCCACGATTCAGAGATTCTAAACAGCGATGTCATATTTAATCACTTATTAGAAGAGAAAATACAGACATACCAAAGGGAAATCAAGGAAGATCCGTATATAAGACACATTTACCTCCATATCATATCGACTTCTACGATTATTTCACATTTATCAGAAGTCGGCTACGGACAGCAGCTTATTTTCATGTCCAGGTTCATGTTCAACATGAAATTGCTTGTTCCGGATTTCTTTTCCCCTCTTTGGCATAAGATTTTCGCATTTTGTCTTTTTATGTCAAAAGAAACGAAAATTTTCAGGACATTTATCTTCTACATATCATTTGTATCTGATAGCCAGATGACTCAGTTCTGGGGACACGACATAATCGACTCATTCCAAAAATTTACAACATCTTTCCATTATTTGATCAAAGACTGTGAATCATTGCGAAGTATCTGCACAAACCCAATGCAATGCCAGAGAATTTTGGAAATGTCTCGAAAATAATTTTGTAATTTTCTAATTTTTATGTATTTTTGTATGTAAAAATTTAATTTCGTTGTTGGTTATATCATTTCATTTCCTATGAGGCTTAGTTGTTTCATACAAAAGTTTTTTTGTTTGTTGAATAAAATCATCTCATCAAAAAAGTGACATTCGGTGACCGTTTAATAATATTTTGAGAAAAATTAGAAAAACGAAAAAATTAATATGGAAAACTCTAAGTTCGCACAAGCATTATTAAGAAGACGTGAAGAAGCAGCTAAAAAGGCAACACAAACAAGTATTAGTGTATCTCAAATCTCAGAAAAATCAATAATTTCAGTAGAAGAGCAGTCAATAGATCCTGATATTGAAGTATCAATGGTTGTTGACGAAGATCAAGAATTGTTTCAATTACAAAGAGAAAATCAAGATCTTAAAGCAAAGATAAGAGAATTAATGCAACAAAATAAAGTTCTTTCGCAAAAAATAGATGATCTTTTAGATCAATCTGAAATAGAAATACTTACAGAACAAGTTTCAAATCTACAAATTGAATTAACAAATGAAAAGAATTTAAAGAAACAAGCAGAAGATAGACTACTTTATTTACAATATCAATATGATATCAAATGCAAAGAAGCAGCAGCAAATATGAAAATACTCGAATCTCTCCAGTTGAAAAATCGTAAATTACAAGAACAAAACTCTTCTTTATCGCAAATCAATGCATCACAGCTAGAAAGCGACCAATATTCTAACGGAAGTAGAAGATCTCGTCTATCCAACGGACAAATGCCAGATAGTCCAAGAAGATATCAGCCAGAGCCGAATTATCAACAAAATTACCAACCTCCTGAAAGTCCGAAAAGATTTCAGGCAGAACCGAGTAGTCCAAGAAGATATCAAGAAGAGTTACCTCCACCAAGTAGAATCCAGCAAGATTTACCAAATCCTTCCATGTATCAAGACAATATTCCTCAAAATCAACCGAGATATGCTCCAAATTCAGCTAGATCTAGCAATTCATCATCAAATAGTAGAAATCCTGCTGATATGGAGTATGATGACTTGATTAGAGAAAGAGATATGCTTGAAGACAAAAAGATCGAACTTGAAAACATCATGGATGAGAATTTTGATGATGTTGATCCAAACATTTCCAATCAGTATAACAGAGTCTTAACACGACTTTCACAAGTGAAGAGAGAGCTTAGATTCCGCTCTTAATTATATTTTGTTTATTACTAAATGTTGTTTTGTTTTATTATGCTTAATATCTAATATGTGAATGTGGAAGGGATAGTAAATATGATTACAAAGTAATTTGGATTATATGTGTAGGCATGCTGACTAAGGATCTTTACATTGTAAATCATTCATTCCTCTCAATTTGAAAAGGTTTACATGAACTTGAAATTAATGTCATAACTCGAAATTTTCCCAATTAATCAAGTTATATATTTGATAATATGGATATCACTCTACTATATATCATTAGACAATCAATTTTGGTCGCTCACATCTAGAGAGGTAGGGCAACGATAGGTCAAAAAGGCTTCTCTGATAGATTTCCTTGCCTTTTGGATATGCTATAATATATAGCCTAGCATGATAGGATATGATGTCAAAAGTTAGGACATAACTTAGGATCTTGAGAAAAATGAAAAACAAAAATTACATAAAAAAAGAAAAATTTTATCTAATTTGTTTTTTTGGACCGAATAAGTAATTTTATTGAATTTCAATACGACACATAGATTTTATTATTAGTAATAAATATAATGGTTTACTATTAACAAGGAACCTAAACTAATGAAAATTTGATTTCAAATATTGTATATGATTATCATAGATTACCAAAATATATTGCTATTTATGAGGATATAATATTGATTATTAGTAAATCGTATAAATTTAATAAATATACCATGAATATTGAATGAATTTCTTGATTCATAGGGGTAAAACGCGCTTTTATATGATTTAGACAGAGAATTTATGAGATGTAAATAACACAATAAAGGTTTATATTGAATATTTTCTAAAAATAAATCGAAATTATAAAAAACAATACATTTATTCATTGAAACTACTTGGACAAATATGAAACAAGCATTCAGGCAATACTTTTGAGACTTCAACGCATCTGATAATTTTTATATAACTTCACCTCTTATGCTTAGAGTGGAGGTATTGAGATCGTATAAGTATAGATGAGCTCACATTCAGATATGATGTGTGAACTTCTGTTTTCACTGCAATTTTGAATCAGAATAAACTCAAAACAAGAATAAAATGATATACTCACTCTCTAAATGTGTTCGAGATTTAAAGTTGTATGAATAAAACGATTCATCTTTCGAAGCTCCCATTTAATGAGAGACTTCGAAAGATGAATGTATTCATGTAGATGAAATACTATATATGACCATGTGTGATACTAAAGATATCAAAATGTTCATTTTTAAGTGCAATAGAAGGGTTATCTCTCGTAAAATCTCAATTTAAGGAAGATTTAGAAAGAACTCCTTTCCTAAGTAGATAGTGTGTGGTTTCTGTCTTTTGGTTGATCAGGAACTATGAAATTAAGTCGGACAGAAAGAAGTTCTTTCCAAAACAGACTCCAAATGAGTTGTTCGAAAAGAACTTCCTTCTGTATATGGATAATTGTAGTTACCGCACTGAAGTATGTGATTGTGATGATGGAGTTCTCGATAAATCTAAAATCGGATTAAGATTAATTGAAAACTTAAGTAATTCTTTGAAATCTTGTGTTGTCTGGCACTATAATAACCAAAGAATGAGAATATTATGTTGAATGATGAGTACGTGTGCTCGGCATTCGCCGAGCGAATTGAGTTTAACGTACTATGAAAAGTGACAAATTTGGGCTTTTTTTCCTAGGGTTATGATCTCTTCCTTTCTGCTCAATACGACAGAAATGAAAGAATGAATTTGTACTCCCTAATTGATTACTACAATCTGTATCTATCTTTAACATAGAATTAGCTGCATTGTGATTTATACTCCAGAATTATTCAATTTAAGATCAACCTCGTAAATTTTAATCATATTGCACCAATACTCCTACGTTGAGATAAGAACATGATTATACATACCAAAGCCCCATATTAAAAATCAAAATTTAGCACCTCCATTATGCAACCACATTATTCGTCGCAAATAAGTATATTTACGCATATTATGATGCATATTCACACAACTCGTATACATGAAAAGTTATTAAAATCAGACAAAATTATTGCAATAAGGAAAAAAAAACAACTTTATTATATATGTTAGTAATGAATTACAAATATTTCTACAAAGAATGCTCAATACTTCATATAATCTTCGAATATTTCTTATTACAAGTTAATACATTTTGACTCGAACATGATAAACAAAAGCCGACACGCTGATTACTACATTTATGAAAATATAGTACGTTTCCATTCATCTGTTTACTTGTTTTTGTTGGAATAAAATCATTTTTTTTTTCTTTCATGAAATAAGAATTTTGCTGCGAAAGCAATATCTCTAACAATAATTAATACATTACGTCAACTCTGGAATGAGTATTTATCAAATATGATATCAAAATCAAAAATTAGTTGTTTTTTATGAGTAAAAACGATGTAAATTGATTATTTGACTAATTATCAAATACTTTGATTTTCCAAATTTTTTTCGAAATTGATTTTTTGATGTGAAATTCAAATTGTTTAATTTCATTTTTGAAATTTTGAATTTTTTTTGGAATTTTGAGTTGATCAATTCAGCAGAATTGATAATGCTATTGCTTTAGGGCATACCACAAGGTGATGAATAAAAGGTGAACATTAACAAATTATTTTAAATCACAAATATCATCCTCATCAACTTTAATTCTAAAAAGAACTGTACTGAATTATGAAAATGCATGATTTACATTATTAAAATCTTTGAATGAAAATAGTACAAGATAAGTTTTTATTCATTTTTAATTAGATTTAAACGAAAAACTACTCCATATTAAAATTTAAGTCGAGAAATCGTATTTTGTTCTTATTTGTTAGCATTTTGTAGACATTCTAATCTTGAATTAATTTGTTACATGATATTATTAACAAATTTAACTGAAAAAATATGTTAATATGGAATAAACCATGATTATATAAGCTATCAATGCTATATATACATATGTAAAAGATTCATATTAACTCAATTAACAAAAATGATAGATTTTCATAAAGGTTCAATCTAGGTTCGTCCGAAAATTTTGATTTTTATATAGAAGACATAGTTTCATATACATAATTAAATTTTCAAACAAATTTGATCATACCATTTATTAAGCAGGATAGTATATTAATTACTATCAGTATAAAAATATAAAAATGATTATATTTAATTATTGCATAATTTAGTCAAAGAGTTATAAGCCTCAAGTGATCGTTATCACCTTCAATGCACGTATACTTTATTGATTCATAGATATTTAATCTATGTTTGACATGTTGTTGTCGTCATTCGTTTTGTTCCCATTCTTCCTAAGTTAGAATTAGAGAATACACCATCCACATCATCTAATTTGGTCCTCAGCGATAGATTGGTTCATTTTGGAGGAGTCCCATAAGACAGTTTTCGAGCACCAAATATCAAATTTTAATGTATACAAATCTTTAGTGATTTATCTCTTTTATGATGAGTAAAAGGTTTCTGCTCATCAACATTTGATTTCCGACATATATGATTTCTAATTGCAATTATTTACTTTCTTTTTATAATCTAACTCTGTGACTCATACCATAAATTAATTATTGGAAAGTGTCAATATGTTTGGCACAACGCATGGCGGAAGATACCAAACCATGCAGGGAATATGATACGTTTAAGATCTCCGAACTTTTTTTCCAAAAATTTTTTATCGTTGCCCTACCTCTACATCTAGCCATTTTTGCAATACGCAGAATCTCATCATTGCACTCAAATTTCATAGATGAATTCGATTGACGAGAGAATCAGTGATATTTTGAAATTAATCGATGGACTCCCTATCCATACGGAAAAGTTCAGTGTGCTCGCTGATTGTCTCCATTCATTTACGCTTTTTAAGACTTATTTCGAAAATACCGATTCAAATTTAAACAAAACGAACATATCACGATTTGATTTTGCACTAGGAGAACTACAAGCTATTCTCCTAATGATTGGTCCGGAAGTTTGGATTGATTATATCTGTCATACTTCGATTGATCACGCAATCAACGTATTAAAAGCGAAAATGTCTGAAATGAAAGAATACACAAACATCATGTTCAACATTAATACAGGTATCTTTGATATTCCTCAATACAAATTGAATTATGCAGATTTTTTGGATCTAAAAAAGCTTTTGAAAATAATAAAGAACATTCCACCTGACAAATTTGGTGATTCTGATCCAAATAATATCAAACAAAACATAAATAAAGCATTAGAAGCGTATAAAAGTCCAAAATGTTTTACATTTCAACAAATTCAATCATTTAGAAAGTTTTATGTCGATACAGAAGATTTAGAAATCCTTAAAAAGATCGGATCTGGTACTTTCTCAACAATTTTCCAAGGTCGAAGAAAATCTACAAATGAAGAGGTTGCAATCAAATTCTTTACTAGCGCTCACTCCAGAACTGAGCATTTCAATCAATTGATATGCGAAGCAAACGCTTATTCCCGTTTAAACCACAAAAATATCGTAAAATTCCATGGAGTCACAAAAGAACCTCCTTTTATGCTAATTACTGAATTTATGGATGGTGGATCATTATTTAGAGGTCTACAAACACCAGGAGCCCTCGATGCACCAGAAATGTTAGATCATATCGCACTTTCCATTGCAAATGGCTTAGTTTACTTACACAAGCTCGGATCTATCCACGGTGATATCAAATCGCTCAATATTCTGCTCTCAAAGTCAGGAGGAGTCAAATTATGCGATTTTGGCTCTTCAAGGGTTTTCCATGATCCCAATGCCGATATCGGCCCTATCGGCACTATATCGTGGTCCGCCCCCGAAATGTTGCGAACTGAAGGAGAAAGAATGATTTCGCCAGCCGCAGACGTTTACTCGTACGGCGTAGTACTTCTGGAGATGGCAACAAGGAGACCGCCTGAATCAAACAACAGAAAAGTGGTTCCGCCGGATACTCCTCCAAAATTAAGGTCATTAATTGAGAAATGTCTATCGGCAGATCCATTTATGAGGCCGACCATGTCGGAAATCGTACAGATGTTCGAACAGAAACTCATTTCCTTCGCAAAATCCGCTGAAATCAAAGTTTCTACAAATGCTCTCAATTTTTTGATCGAAAACGCCACAAAAGACTCCTACGACCTACTCGGTGACATTTGTGCAGAGATCCCCACAACAAGAGAGTTCGTTTTGGCCAAAATTGCCCAGAAAAACGTTTCAAATGCGGTGAAAGGTTCATTAATCAGGGCTTTGAGGGCAATTTGTAGGACAAAAGAGCTTTGTGAGCAGGCAATAAAGCTTGGCGTCATTGAATTATGTCTTGGATTCCTAGATAAAGACGAATTACAAGTTAGATCTCTCTTTTTACTGCTTTCTGTCGTCAGGTTGGCCGAATACAGCTTCTCAGAGAGCGAATTGAACATCCTACATGAATATCCCGACTCTCTTTTGGTCACAATTTGTTTGCTTTACGGAACAAAACTCGATGAGAACGAAATTGGAAAATATTTGGATCTGATTTTAAGTTGTCCTGATCAGATATTGCCTTCCATACTCTGTGGATTAAGGAGATACTTCAAAACAAACACAGAACCAATAAATGAACAATTATTTTACAAAATTGCGACAAGTTTGTTCACAGTTCTACAATCAAACGAAGAAACATCAGCTACCCAGGCCATTCTCATCTTTTCTGACGTTCTTCCTTTGATTTCCTTTGATTTAGTGATGAGCCCTCAGCATATGATACTAATTGGCAAATGGATCTTCGTAAAGAACACTGCCATCCATATTTCAGCAGTTAATTTGCTGTCTCTCGTTGTTTATTCTCCAAATGTCAAAATTATTGCAAATGGAGTTTACGAATTCATGGTTATCCTTCTCCATTCATTACCTCTGTCATGTGTAAAGGATCAATTGTCCAATTCCGTCCTTAAACTGCTTTCCCAGCAAGATATCGGACAATGGTTTGTCGAAAAGCAGCTAAACAACTTCATGCTTGGCGATATACCATTGGAACTGAAGCCTGTGATGATTAAAATGCTCGCTTGCGTTGCTTGGACAAAACATGACAATTTAATTTCTCCAGGAGCCCAGAAAACCATCAGAGACGTGATTGCCCTTAATAATGATGACTTGTACAGGTTGGTTTGCAGGTTTATTATTGCTTCCGGCAAAGCTGTTGAGTATCTTAATTTATTAGGCAGTGGAAGGTTCGTTGATGAGGTTGAGAGGACAGATAATGTTGATGTTGTCATGGATACAATCAAACTGTTCAAAGTTACGCATAATGGCTGCACAAAATTGGAATTCAAGAGATTGGCAACTGCTTCTACAAAATTCATTGAAAATGAAAGTGTTAAATTACACATTTTGTGGTTGTATGTTTTGTCATTTAGAATTACAAAGGATACGAATTTCATTAAAGATGTGAAGAGTTTGATCATAGAAAACAAAGATTTGTTGGATTGCAATGATATAATTGACATGCTCAATGCAAATTAATTTAACTATATATATTGTATCTTTTATTTCTTAATATAAATGTATATTTATCTTTCGTTAATTTTTTTCATTTATATTATGAGCTTACTGTGAATGATGCCAATTAATTTACCAATCATTCGGCATGTTTCAGTCATCTCATGAATGAATAAGAATCAAAAAGATTTCATGAATGATAATTAATTTAATTTTCATTGTTAGATTGATCCCTTATGAAATTTCTATACTTTCGGCTTCCGAATCTATGAATGAATGAAATATATTCCTACAATGTTGGTAATCAATATCATCTTCCATATTCTTATTCTATGGAAAAATAATACCAAAAGCTATCAACATCATTTACTCTAATGACCCTATTAATTGATTAGTTGTTTGTAAAATGTAACAATAATGCAAAACGCATGATCTGTTATGTCATGATTGGCGTGATTAAATTGGCTAATTGAGATCTTCTTATTTAGACAAAACCTTCATACAAAAAGATAGTTAAACAATTTAAACAATGGTCAAAATTTTTATAAAACAATAAAAAAAAATAAAAAATTAGTCTTCAAAGAAAACTGTTCTTGTCAAAGATGTAAGAGAATACTTCTCTTTCATCTGTTTGATCACATCACTCTCAGCTATTTCTTCCACTGGCTTCAGAGGGAATTCCCACGAAGCTCTCTTTGTTATCAGAATTTCGTTTTTCACTGCATTCAGAAAGTCTGATTCAGGCGAATTTTCGTTGAATTGCACTGACTTCCTTGTCTTCTTCTTCTCAAGAGCAGAAGCATCCAGAGATTTCCTCATCGGTTTCTTGATTTTTTGGTCGATTTCTTCGATTTTGTCTTTAGGAATTGCGCTTTTCCTTCTTCTCTTCGGATGAGCTGGTTCTCCATCGAGTGTGTGCGGCAGTTTGTGTCTTTTAGATGGTGGTTGTTCGGCAGATTCGATGCTGTCTGAGTTAGAATCGTGTCTCTGCTCCAAAATTTTTGAATTTACTGTTGAAGACCTCTTCCTCTTCTTTACTTTCTTAGGAGTAGCTGCAGCATTGACGGATATCTTGTTGGGAAGACTTCCTGATGCAGCAATTCCTTTTCCTGGCTCTTTATTCTCCTCATTTTCCTCAACTTTGAATTTAATCGCGCCTTTCTTCACTGGTTCGCTGTTTTCTTCTGTACTCCTGCTTCCTGATGATGTTTTGTGCTGAAGTTCGCTGTTGCTTTCATCTTCTGACTCTGATGAAATAAATAATTTTCTTCCGATTTTGTTTTTCTTAATTCCGTCATCGGAATCATAATTAGTCTTCCTCCTAGGCATATCACTATCCGATTCATTGTCAGAAATCCTCTTTCTGTAGACAATATGAACTTTGTCGTCGGAAGGAGAGATATCCTTGATCAGAGAGAATTTCCTGGGCCTGGTAAACACTGTCATGCCTGGAATCAATGGTTTGGTCACTAAATGTTCGATTTCCTGGTTGATATACATTGGAAAACGAGAAGAATCAGGCATTGTCCATCCGAATGGGATATCATCAAATGGTATCTCAATGCCATCTGGTTTATCCTCAATTACGCCTCCTTTTTGGAGGAATGCGATCAAATTTATCAAACATTTGGCAATAGCTTTGGAATGAGGTGTTGTCGCGGCATTATTGATCTCATCTGTGAAATCATCGATCAATATTGTCCTTTTCGTGTCTTCAAACCGTTTCAGAGAATTATAAATTCCTTCAATCGAAGCAGAGTTACCTTTGAAGCTCAGTTGAAAGATGTTCTTGTTCAGATATGTCAAATCCAAAAGGATGTTGATTGCTTGTTGGTTTATTTGCTGGTTTGCAAGATTTATTGTGTTTAATTGGAAAGCTCCTGATAAATTGTTGATGAACTCAACTGCATGTTCAGCAATGTGCTTTTCTGGTGTTCCTATTAATGTAATACTCTGGAATTTTTGTAATTTTGCCAAAGAATTTCCTAATTCAACCAAACTATCCTTGTTTTCAGCTGAATAACATCCAGAAACATTAAGTTCACGCAAGTTCTCGCATCTTGCGATGAAATTGTTGAAGTTTTTGGGAATAGGGTTATTTGACCAATCTAAACCACAAACGCACTTCGTAGGCATACTCTTTAGTGTTAAATTGAGCATTTTTGTATCATTCTCTGTCATTTGAGCGTTAGAAAAGTTGATATAAATTCCATAAGGGAAATTCGAAGTAAAAATCAACTCAAACATCTGCTGGAACGCATTATCACTCCACTTGACATCAGCAACATCGAATCTGATGAGAGATTGAGGCATAAACAAATTTTGAACGTTAAGTTGGGAACAAAGGTTTCCACTGATATTTAACATTTTCATTTTGTATTTATGCTTGCCAAAGATGACATGTAATATATCATTTAGCTCTAAATTACAATAAGCGACGCTCAATGAAATCAAATGCGGACAATTGTCGTAAAGGTCCTGAAAATCAACATTTTGGGTATAATCCAAGTTAAGCATCTTCAAATTTCTGAAAAGAGCTGATGTTCTGTACTCTTGTCCAATAATTTCATTCGAATAACTGTTTTGCAATGATAAACAAGTCAAAGAAGAGTTCCTTATGTTTTCTAGTATCTGTAATTGCGCTTTTGTGAAGTTAGAATTCTTAAATGAAAGTCCAATCAAAGCATTTGTTTCATTTAGTTCATCAATGAAGGTTTGGAAGCTTTCTGTTGCTTCGCCTGTGATCTGTATGTGGAGAGGAGGAAAATCATCCGAAACGTATTTGGATAATATGTCAAAAATGTCGATAGATAGTGGTTCTGGAAATTCTAAGCTTTCTATGTAATCTGCAGCCTGAACAGTTCGCATCATAGGTACTGCAAGACAATTAATTTGGTCTGGAGTCAAGCTAATAACCTTTCTTTTAGTACTAAACAATTTTTTAGCAAATTCAACGACATTTGGGAAATCCTTAATTTCTTTGGTAGTTCCTGATTGTATGGCGCTGCAATTAAAACGTGCTATAAGAGAATTTGGAGTAGGACGATATTTGTATTTTGTAAAGTTCGATAATTCCAAATCTTCATATTCGTATGTTGTTAAAACTCTTTGTATAATGCAACCAATTATTTCTTTGACCTGATCTAGATTGTCTGGGATGAATCTCATCAAATTATCTTCTGATCCAAATTCTAGTATAATAATTTTATCATCAAGACTTATGTATGTCAATTCTATCCAAGTGTAGGTCTTATCTTTGATGTTATCCTTGAAATAGCAAACATATGCATCTGTAAGTGCCAAAAGTCGATCAGATGATCCTCCATGGTCATGGATCTTCTTGACTTCGAATATACCAAAAACTTTCCGTTGATTGCTCTCTAAAAATGTTCTACATATGGTTGACATTTCAACTTCAAAAAAAAAATTGAAAGAAAAAATTAACTAATTTTATTTGTCACTTTTGAGAATCTATCGAATTTTTATGTAAAAAAAATGATTCGGAAAACATGTGTTCCGTAATAGTATCAAGGAACAACGATAATCTTTTTTACATCAACAGGCATGATAAGGTTGTTTTGCAGCTTGGAAGCATTGTTCAGACAACAGCTCGATTTCAAAATAATACTTTGCTTATGAACTGCGCAATTGCCTTAGATAATAGCGTTGTGACCGAAAACACATATATTCCAAGCTACACCTTTGTTGCTCCAGCTGCCGAAAGGTTCATTAGCAGTTCTGCGAATATTGATAGTCCAATTTGCATCGGAAGAGGCGTAACTATATATGATAATGCCGTAATCTGCTACAATGTCACCTTAAGTGATGGTTATTCTATCCAAGAAGGCGTAGTTATCGGAAACGGTTGAATAATTGGCCAGGGAAGTGTTGTAAAGAAAGGTGAAGTGGTCACACCTTTATTTACTGTACCCCCTAGATTTAATTATTCAGAAGATATCATCGAAGACTGCCACAAACTTCAAATGGTGATAACAATCAAAGGAGCATGCTTTACCAAGCAGCATTCGTGCGCAGGAATCGATGAAGTACTTGCAGATTGAGGCACTGACATGCATTCGCTTGTCAGAGGCTACATGAAGCTGATGTCAGATTATCCAGTCGAATTTGACCTCCATATTTCGAAGCTACCCGCTGTTGTCACTCATGATGAGATTGTTGACGTATTCGGCGGAAGAACTCTATCTTTGGCGCATTCTTACTTGGATTCTGGTTCTGAAGGCGAATGGGCCAATTTGATAAAGAACGCGACGAAAACTGCGGCTGAGTAGTACTATAGTCCATGAGGGCAATAACTATTAACTAATATCGAAATAAGCACAATACCTATACAGCCTAACCACGCTATCCTAGCAGCTAGGCTGCATATGTATTGTGCTTCTAGCTTGCAGAGGCCTCATTGAAGACCGATTGGAGATCTCGCGCCGAAATCACTTGCTGGTGTGGATAGAGCTGCGTAGAATCCCAGCAAGTGAATAGTCGGTGGTGACTCCAGCGGTGGTCCACCATGAGATTATGCCACTTTTGTGATATGAGACGGAAAGTTTTTTTTTGATCTGACATTGTAAACTGTTTCGCATGTCAGATTTTTGTAACTTTACAAATATCAGAATTTGTATGATTTACCGGCATTGTAAACATTGTTTATCAAAAGCTATTGTTTTTCAATGAAAACTCCTTGGAAATAATTTTATTTCATAAATTGATTTTATTCAAATATAGATGTTAGAAAGTGCTATGGCAAAATTATTTTGAAGCGCCGTGTTCAATTAATAGTTTGATAATTTCAGGTGCATTTTGTTTAATTGCAATGCTAAGTGGACATTCGTTAATATAAAAAGAATTTCATAAAACGATGATTGATATTAAAAGAAAGAGAATCTTATAAAACGATGATTGATATGAAATGAAAGAGAATGATATAAAACGATAATTGATATTAAAAGAAATAGAATGCCATAAAACGATGATTGATATTAAAAGAAAGAGAATTCTATAAAACGATGATTGATATTAAAAGAAAGAGAATTCTATAAAACGATGATTGATATGAAATGAAAGAGAATTCTATAAAACGATGATTAATATTAAAAGAAATAGAATGTAATAAAACGATGATTGATATTAAAAGAAAGAGAATTATATAAAACGATGATTGATATTAAAAGAAAGAGAATTCTATAAAACGATGATTGATATTAAATGAAAGAGAATTATATAAAACGATGATTGATATTAAATGAAAGAGAATGCCATAAAACGATGATTGATATTAAAAGAAAGAGAATGTAATAAAACGATGATTGATATTAAATGAAAGAGAATTTCATAAAACGATGATTAATATTAAAAGAAAGTTGATAAGTTTAATATTGACATCTGCACCATGTTCTATTAATAATTTGATAATTTCAGGTGCATTTTGTTTAATTGCAATGCTAAGTGGACATTCGTTAATATAAAAAGAATTTCATAAAACGATGATTGATATTAAAAGAAAGAGAATCTTATAAAACGATGATTGATATGAAATGAAAGAGAATGATATAAAACGATAATTGATATTAAAAGAAATAGAATGCCATAAAACGATGATTGATATTAAAAGAAAGAGAATTCTATAAAACGATGATTGATATTAAAAGAAAGAGAATTCTATAAAACGATGATTGATATGAAATGAAAGAGAATTATATAAAACGATGATTGATATTAAAAGAAAGAGAATGTAATAATACGATGATTGATATTAAATGAAAGAGAATGCCATAAAACGATGATTGATATTAAAAGAAATAGAATGCCATAAAACGATGATTGATATTAAATGAAAGAGAATTCTATAAAACGATGATTGATATTAAAAGAAAGAGAATGTAATAAAACGATGATTGATATTAAATGAAAGAGAATTCTATAAAACGATGATTGATATTAAAAGAAAGAGAATGTAATAAAACGATGATTGATATTAAATGAAAGAGAATTTCATAAAACGATGATTAATATTAAAAGAAAGTTGATAAGTTTAATATTGACATCTGCACCATGTTCTATTAATAATTTGATAATTTCAGGTGCATTTTGTTTAATTGCAATGCTAAGTGGACATTCGTTAATATAAAAAGAATTTCATAAAACGATGATTGATATTAAAAGAAAGAGAATTTCATAAAACGATGATTGATATTAAAAGAAAGAGAATTTCATAAAACGATGATTGATATTAAAAGAAAGAGAATGTCATAAAACGATGATTGATATTAAAAGAAATAGAATGCCATAAAACGATGATTGATATTAAAAGAAAGAGAATGTCATAAAACGATGATTGATATTAAAAGAAAGAGAATGTCATAAAACGATGATTGATATTAAAAGAAAGAGAATTCTATAAAACGATGATTGATATTAAAAGAAAGAGAATGTCATAAAACGATGATTGATATTAAAAGAAAGAGAAATTTATAAAACGATGATTAATATTAAAAGAAAGTTGATAAGTTTAATATTGACATCTGCACCATGTTCTATTAATAATTTGATAATTTCAGGTGCATTTTGTTTAATTGCAATGCTAAGTGGACATTCGTTAATATAAAAAGAATTTCATAAAACGATGATTGATATTAAAAGAAAAAGAATTTCATAAAACGATGATTGATATTAAATGAAAGAGAATGTAATAAAACGATGATTGATATTAAATGAAAGAGAATGTAATAAAACGATGATTAATATTAAAAGAAATAGAATGCCATAAAACGATGATTGATATTAAATGAAAGAGAATTATATAAAACGATGATTGATATTAAAAGAAAGAGAATTCTATAAAACGATGATTGATATTAAAAGAAAGAGAAATTTATAAAACGATGATTGATATTAAATGAAAGAGAATGTAATAAAACGATGATTAATATTAAAATAAAGTGAATTATATAAAACGATGATTGATATTAAAAGAAAGTTGATAAGTTTAATATTGACATCTGCACCATGTTCTATTAATAATTTGATAATTTCAGGTGCATTTTGTTCAATTGCAATGCTAAGTGGACATTCGTTAATATAAAAAGAATTTCATAAAACGATGATTGATATTAAATGAAAGAGAATGAAATAAAACGATGATTGATATTAAAAGAAAAAGAATTTCATAAAACGATGATTGATATTAAAAGAAAGAGAATTCTATAAAACGATGATTGATATTAAATGAAAGAGAATTATATAAAACGATGATTGATATTAAAAGAAAAAGAATTCTATAAAACGATGATTGATATTAAAAGAAAAAGAATTCTATAAAACGATGATTGATATTAAAAGAAAAAGAATTCTATAAAACGATGATTGATATTAAATGAAAGAGAATTTCATAAAGCGATGATTGATATTAAAAGAAAGTAAATTTCATAAAACGATGATTGATATTAAATGAAAGAGAATTTCATAAAACGATGATTGATATTAAATGAAAGAGAATGAAATAAAACGATGATTGATATTAAATGAAAGAGAATGAAATAAAACGATGATTAATATTAAAAGAAAGAGAATTGTATAAAACGATGATTGATATTAAATGAAAGAGAATTCTATAAAACGATGATTGATATTAAAAGAAAGAGAAATTTATAAAACGATGATTGATATTAAAAGAAAGAGAATTCTATAAAACGATGATTGATATTAAAAGAAAGAGAAATTTATAAAACGATGATTGATATTAAAAGAAAGAGAATTTCATAAAACGATGATTGATATTAAATGAAAGAGAATTATATAAAACGATGATTGATATTAAAAGAAAAAGAATTATATAAAACGATGATTGATATTAAAAGAAAGAGAATTATATAAAACGATGATTGATATTAAATGAAAGAGAATTATATAAAACGATGATTGATATTAAATGAAAGAGAATTTCATAAAACGATGATTAATATTAAAAGAAAGTTGATAAGTTTAATATTGACATCTGCACCATGTTCTATTAATAATTTGATAATTTCAGGTGCATTTTGTTTAATTGCAATGCTAAGTGGACATTCGTTAATATAAAAAGAATTTCATAAAACGATGATTGATATTAACAGAATGAGAAATTTATAAAACGATGATTGATATTAAAAGAAAAAGAATTTCATAAAACGATGATTGATATTAAAAGAAAGAGAATTGTATAAAACGATGATTGATATTAAATGAAAGAGAATTATATAAAACGATGATTGATATTAAAAGAAAGAGAAATTTATAAAACGATGATTGATATTAAAAGAAAGAGAATTTCATAAAACGATGATTGATATTAAATGAAAGAGAATTTCATAAAACGATGATTGATATTAAAAGAAAGAGAATTTCATAAAACGATGATTGATATTAAATGAAAGAGAATGAAATAAAACGATGATTGATATTAAAAGAAAAAGAATGCCATAAAACGATGATTGATATTAAAAGAAAAAGAATTCTATAAAACGATGATTGATATTAAATGAAAGAGAATTTCATAAAACGATGATTGATATTAAAAGAAAGAGAATGAAATAAAACGATGATTGATATTAAATGAAAGAGAATTATATAAAACGATGATTGATATTAAAAGAAAAAGAATTATATAAAACGATGATTGATATTAAAAGAAAGAGAATTATATAAAACGATGATTGATATTAAAAGAAAGAGAATTTCATAAAACGATGATTGATATTAAAAGAAAGAGAATAAATTTATTGTTCATGTTATGTCCATTTTGAATTAGATATGATGCAGTATCAAAATTCCCATAATACAAAAATTTGGCTATTTCTGAAGAAGGGTGTTGATCAAAACGTGTTGAAAGATAATTCACAAGTTCGTAATTTCGGTGAATCAAAGCAATGTCGACTAAATCTTTAAATGATTGACCGTCATTTAGCATTTGTGAGAAAATTATTTTATTTCCACCTTCAGAAGCATATTTTGCAGTATTTCCAGTATATTCTGCGCCTTTATTTTTCAGGTATTTGAAACATAACTCTGATCCAAATTTGCATGCGCACTCAAGCGGTGTTAAACCATCACATTTCTCATTAGCATCTAAGTTTGGGAATTTGCTTTTAAGATCATCGATTTTATCCCAAGCGATGAAATATAAAAGGCTATCTTTTTTATAGATATTTAGAATGTCTTCTTCTTTTTTGACAGGTTTGAAATATTTGAAATTGAAACCTTTATAGGATAATAATGTTGCTAAATCTTCATTTTCTGGTTTGATCGTCAAAGAAAACTCTTTTGAAATATTTTGATAAATTTTTGCATATTCAGCAATATTCTTAATGCGAAGTGTTGAAATGGTATCAATTAAATAAAGTGCCATTTTGGCAGGAATTTTTTGGGCTTTAATGAGTTCAATTATCTGTTTTGTGGATTGTGTGATATTGTTAGTATTGATATTCCAAATAATTTTTGAGGCTTGATTTGGATACTTGAATTCATTAAGTATATTCGCATCGGTGGAATTTTCTTCATTAATTTGAGATATTATACTTTCTTTTTCTTTGAGTTCGGATTTAAGTAATTGTATTTCGGTGTCACTTTTTTGTTTTGCTTTTTGAATGGAATTTAACTCTGCTTGAAGTTTTTGGATTTTTACTGTAGATTCTGAAATAATTTTATCAGTTTCATCTAAAAAACCAATAATTCCATCTAACATCGTAAAATTCATGTATTTTCGAACAGATTTAAGTGTTGAAATAACTTCTTGGTAATTGCGAATTGAAACTTTAGTGTTTCGAGTGCATTTATATAACTCATTTTCATCAAGAGTAGATTTAGATTGTTTAAGAAGGGTAATGAAATCTTCTGATGTTAAATTCGCTAAACTTAGGATTTTCTTTAAATCTTTGAGTTCAAAAACATCAAAAAGCTTTTCCTCTTGAATGTAATCGTTGATATGAGCAGCTATATATTCATAATTCTGTATCAGTTTATGACTCATTTAAAAAAAAATTGTTTGCAAGCATTCAAATTTTCAGAACTTTTAACGTTCATGAAAATTAGAATTTGCAAACGATTAAAGAAATTATTTGCAATTTAGCCGTAGGCAAACTCCGTCCAAATTGCAAATAATTTTTTAAGGGGGTAGGTTTGAATAGTTATAAATTTAAAAAAAAACACTTTTCCTCCATATCGCGGCAATATTTTTGGACAATCATAAGTGCTATTAGCACAGTCATAGTCAGAGTAGGTACTGACAAAGTTTCGACGATCGCACTATTCTACGTATTTTTGTCAGTTACTAACAAAAAAATTACTTAAAATTGAATCAAGTCATTAAATACAAAGCTAGGTTTTGCGAAAATGGTAGAAATGATCATTGCAACTATTTCCCCATAAAAATAGGAGAACAGAATTTTAATACACAGCAATAACGTATGTAAATTAGTATGTAATTTGTAAGTTCCAAGTTCTCTGACATGCTATCTCCACAAGTGTCTTCGATTGAATGAGCATTACACATTTGTTGAGCTATATGAAATCTTTGGCTGTGCATATGAAAATTCCTATTTTGAAACTTTTCGTGACGCGAGCCCTCTCAAATATTCTCTCGCGACACCTTAAACATCTCAAAAATAAATGTAAACTTCTGAATTTTCTGAACTTTACGTCGTGACGCCAACCCTAGTTTTTATCTAAATTATCAGCTGATTTATTAACATTTTATTAAATATTTCATATTAAAAAGCAATGATGTATGTCAATATCCGATAGATTGATCGTAATTAGCTATTTTGTTAATGTGGAGGCGGTAAGTTTTGGAATTTCGAAAGTCTGCAAAGATAAGTTAAGAAATTTTAGAGAGCGATATTCATGATAAATGTATTTGAGTTGGGGTACTTCATTATAACAATAAATTTTAAGTACATAGAACCCCACCTAATAATGTTTTAGTTATCTCAATTTTCAAATGAATTTGAGTATTTTAAATCTGAAAAGAAGCATTTTATGAAGAAATATTACTCATTGCATGTGAATAGCAGTTTAAAAAGAATTAATAGAAAAAATATTTTATAAATTACAAACAATTAGTGCATGAAAATAAAGCGGATGCAATTAAATCAAAATGGTTCTAATAAGGAATGTTATCAAGAACTGCTGGAACATCTAGGTTTTGCTGTATCAAATAATTTCTGAATTGTTGAGCAGTATAGCTGGTGTTAAGCTCTTGAACAGGTTTATCATTAAATAACTTGCCTCTTTCTTCAGGTTTGGCTGATTGTTCTATAATATTCAAAATTCTCTTTCTTCCGACCGAAATTTTTCTATGTGGTTCAGAACTTCCGATTCCTTTTGAGTATGTGGATCTAAAATTATTTGAATTTGTGTAATTCGATTCTGAATTCTGTTCATGAATATGAGCCCACGCTTGTTCTTTCATTATTTGGGCTGAGGACTGCAAACTGAGCGGATCTTCGTCTGCCTTTGATTTTTGATTCTTATCGAACGATCTTCTTTGACCAAAATCAAAGAATTCATTTGAATCATAATCAAAATCATTTCTAGGGCTGATAACTTCATCATCGAAGCCACTTGCTTCTGTAGTTTTGTATGGACTATCAGATGAGTCTGCTCTAGCTTGAGCAGCAGCTTTCTGTGAGATTCTTTTTTCTTTGAGTTGTAATTGTACCTTAGATGACATATAAGATATGGGTTTGTCGCGTTCTGCATGGTGTTCATCTGAATCTTCTTTATAGTACTGTTTAAGCATATCCATCTCTTCATCTGTAAATGTGACTGAAACACCTGGTTTTTCTTTCTTAATTTTGGTGTCTGGGCCCTTCAACCCTCCTGCTAACCATTTAGCTGATTTTAAACTTGATTTAGACTTTCGTTCCTCTCTATTCATCAAATAAAATTTTTGTACGGTATTTCATTGCGACCAATGTTTATTTGGCAATTTAACTTAATTATTCATATAATTTTGTTTTTCAATCTAAAAACATCACAGTGATAAGAAATATATTTAATGTTTAAGAAAGCGATGCTAAATACCAATATTAATATAGTAGAAATGTTAGTCCACTCGAAGTAGAGGATTTGTTAACTTCCAATTTGAGCATTTATTCAATTTGACGATGAAATTGAGTAATTTGAATAATCAATGTATGATATCAAAAATAATGGTAAAGTAATTAAATTAAGATAGAACTAATATTTATATGCATGGATGAATTAACCTGAAAATAGGATATTTTTATGGAGGCTAAAATAATCTTTAAAATAGCCTTTAATGCATGGTAAAGCTTCTCAAATCAGTAATGAGAACAGGTAGTTTCGAATGAGTTTCAGTATTATTGTTAATTATTGCTAAGGCAATTGAAATAACTGAAATCAGTAGATCAGAAGGATATTTTGATGCAAGCTTGTGTAACGCTAAGTCTTCATTAGACTATATTGATCTTTCAACAATAGTTGCTCAAATAATTGAGAAAATTTAACCTTCTATTTTCTCAAAGTAAGCCTAATGCATTTCTGCTCTTGTTCTAAGGCATATGTAAGAGCGTGTATCTTTGCAAGTTGCTTTGATATGGCTTTGTCTCTTTCTTCCATTTGAGTGACTTCTTCATGGGATTGGTTATAGATTGGCTGTGCATGAACAATCTCTTCCCTTTCGTATATCTCAAAGCGTTTGTGTTTTTCGATACCTTCTGATTGTTGTTGAATAAACTCCATGAATTTGTTCAATTTTGTATTTCCCATTTCATGGAGTGATGGTTCGATAGCTTCATATGGTAAGTTGCAACTATGATGGCGGAGTGGACTTGGTCGTGGTATATCATGGCGTTTCATACTGCTCATTTTTTATGAACTGTACGTTAAGGGTCCACTGTAAAAATTGAAAGTCTCTCAAAATTGAGAGGCGATTTGCAAATAATCATTATCGTCATTTTTCGAAAATCCACTTTTCCTAGTGTTCTGATTAATATTATGTGAATACAACAATGAAGCATATGTTTCAATAAGATGGTAATATATTCTATCACTTCAAATCTCATAAAAATTGCAAAATCAGTGAGTTTTATAAGAACATGATTTTTTCGAATTTTTTCGCTTTTGGATGCGTGTTTTGAAAAATAGATATTTTCGAATTTTAATTTTATCTTAAGTATAAGTTTTATATTAGGAATTTTTTTGACCTATTTCCAATCATTAATTCCAATGTTTTTCAAGGAATTTAATTGAGAAGAAATTAGGAATTTCGCTTTAATGCCATTACAAACTAATATTATGATGCATAATATATATATTTATTGAGGCTAATGCCGGGATATCTTGCATTTAAAAAAAATTCAAAGAATTGACAATTGGATAGCACAAATTTAATTCCCTGGACAAAGTATTATTGTTTATATATTCAAACCATTATCCTTAGTTTAGATATGTTGGCCAAAAATTTTTCGTGTTATTTTTTGTGTTTAAGCATAAATTATGTATTTACTTATGAAAAATAAGCATTTTATTCATTATCATAAAGATATACCATAACAATTGATTTTTTTTAAAAAAAATTGTGTATTTTAGTGGGTATTATTCTGGATAATGCCAATTTTTACAAGATTTAATATTAACCATATCAATAGCCGACTCAATGTAAAAATTTAGATATTATTTTTTCATTAATCAAACTTTGATAAATTTTAGTATAATGAACGATTTTGTTTCGTGTATGATACAGAAATGAAAAGCTTAATTAATATCATTTTGCATTTTTTAAAGGATGTTAGAGTACATCTACATTAAAAAATCAGATTTGAACTGCGATACTGCATCAAATTGATGCATATCTGATAAGGATCTCAAAAGAGTAAAGTTAATTTTTTTGTGTTTTTTTAAGTTTTGGGCCTTAGTAAAACACCATCTCGAGCAATATTTTTGGGAGACGATAGACCTTATTTGGCCTTACAGTGGACCCTTAAGCTCTATAAAAAATCAATTCTTCTAAGTTATTCTAATAATAGTGTATTTGTACTAAAATACTAGTAAGTTAATGATTTGTCGGAGAAAATAATGAATACCCACTTAAATTTCATTTTGGAAATAAAATTCTTTTTGTTCATGATAAAATAAGTGAGTAATGCGTAATTCTTATATTAGTTTGTCATCAAATGGTGATTAAATTTTGTTTTGGGATAAATTGAAGAAAATATATTTTTATCTTTTTCTTTTTGATATAAATTAATAGATGTAAATGCTTTTCATTTGGATTTTGATTGCTTTTATCATTCCGTATTAAACGATATAGTGCCGAATTTTTGATTTAAATCTTTAAAATGAGTCTGTATATGAATTTGGTGATAAATTACTTGTTTTTTGTGATTAGTATTTATAAACGACAGATGCCAAGACATAAAATGAATTTGATTTAGGTATTAATAATTATTGAATGAAATCACGCTCTTCTGATGATGAGACAAACAATCTTAGCTATGTTGCATCCATCTAAATGTGTTTTTATGAAGGTCCAAATTTCCAAATTTTTTCCAAAATCATAAAAATGAAGAACGATCCTTCATATTTCTATATGAAAATAATATTTTCGAATTTTTTTTAGAGGTTTTGGATTTTAAAACCGAAATTCACACGCTTTTAATAAATTTTACGAAATGTTAAATCTGAAAAACTCTTTGTTTATAAACAAAAAATATAAATATGAGCTTAAATAATGTATATAATTCAGTTTGAGATTAAAAAAAAATCAATTAAAAGAGTTGCTGGTTTTGATATGTGATTTCAAATATACATTTAATCACACAATAATTTTATATCATAAAATTCTTTGTAAAGTTTAATCAGGTAGACATCCTGTTCAATATCTTTGATTGAATGCAGATTATAGATCATTATATCAACTATTCATTTTTACTTGTTTAATAATATTCAAATATTTCATATTGTATGAATATTCGTTTATCAGAGGAATACATATATAGAAAATAACAAATTCCTAACAAATTCCCTACAAATCTGTTAGTCTTTGATGTATGCTCATCAACTCAAATCGTTTAATAATTCGAAACCCATGAAAAATGATATCACTTCCATATTCTCGCCGTAAAAACAGTGCATAACAGGGAATTTTGAAGATATTTTGATTGCTTGTCCAACAGGTATATAAATGTATTGAATGGTATTTATCATTTCAGAGACATAAACGATAAAAAAAAATCAATAAAAATGTCAGTAAATTTATCAAAAATTGTCAAAAGTCAATAAAAACTGACAACCGCAACTGATAATCATTATTCGCAAATTTGCTGATTATTTAACAGGAAATAAGGTAATATTTAAAATAATCAATTTTATTTATTATTTTGTTGAGCGAACTTATTTTTTTATTTTTTGCCTGAATTTTAATTTTGTCATCCGAATAAACATCCGAGCAGTGTGCGTTACCGGATGTTACATTAGTTAATTTTTTTAAAAATGAACGTTATTTTCTAAATTTTAGAAAAAGTGACGATCATAACAACGGGGAAAAGATTCGATGGGTTGTTATCCCTCAACCCCTCGAATAACCAACAAGAAAAATGTACCATCCAAACGTACACAGAGTTTGGATTCAGGTATGTCCTCGTCTAAAGATATTCACATCAAGGTTTTATCAGATAAACAAGTATTTCAACAAATTGTCAATGGTATTCATCAAATCTCGAATCCCGCAGATCTGGCTCCACAAGTCTGTGTTGGCGATGGAGCGTTTCCTATCGCCACTGCAGTTTTTAAGTTAGAAGAACCCGATGGAAATGAAATTCGCTTACCAATCATATCATGTTCGACGAAAGGCAATGGATATTGTGTATGCGTATCATCAATAGACTATTTAATCCAACAGAACTTCCAGAGCTACGACACAGCTCAATTATTCAAACAGATAACGAAGACTATTGCAGGACAGCAAAAAACATTTTCACAGACATATTGCCTCGGCTTTTCTCGTTCAGATATTCGCGTATATAAAAGTTCTTTCGAAAGTATGAGTTTATTCGTCGAAGGTGGTGAATTTCCGAACAACTTATATAACTATTCGATCATCGTCCTTAACACGAGTTATGTACTCTCACCAGAACAGATGGACATGCTCTACACTTACGTTTCTGAAGGCGGAAACGGTCTCATAACTTTCTACAATCCAGCCGACGACTCCCCAAACATCAACGATTTCCTGATGAGGTTCGGCATCAGGTTTACGAATCTCGTGAATAGTGACGATAATGATGCTATTGATGTCGGACAAAACTATGATTTTACGAAAGACTTGACTTTCAAGGAAATCAGCGATAAATACGAACAACTCATTCAGACAGAAAATATAAATCAGAACCAATTGGACGATCTCGTTTCCAGTCTTCGAATTTATGTTCTTGCATGCGGCGACGAGAACACTCCAAGGCTATCGCACCTGCTGGATTGCTCTTGGGATTACCTTAAGAGAACAAACTACAAAGTCGGAAATACTCTATTCCAAACACAACAGCAAGCAACAGTATCATTACTCATTTTGGACCTTTTACAGAAATTACCGCTCGAATTACTAAAGCCTGTGGATGGGTTTGAGATATTTCCGGGAGTTACTGGTGACGTCGAACTTCGTGATTTTGAAATTGATCTCACAATTAATAGCCAGGAATGGACATCTACGGGCTTATGGTTACCTGCTGGAGTTATGGGTGAAATTATAATAGAAAATGTCCCACCAAGTACTTTCATTCAGATCGGATGCCACAATGAGAAGAATCTGCCGAAGAAACTTCCTTGGGGACGTTGGCCGTCAACCCTCGTGACAGAACCAGTCATCTCAGAGGAAACAAAGGTCGGTTCTCCATACGGAGGCATCGTATATCTGATGAATGGCGAAGAAGAAGAGCTTATTAGCTACGATATACACGCGAAGTTCTGCAATTTCTGCGAATTCCCTCGTTTCGTGCTAGAAGCTGATACTTGGACGGATACAAAAGATATCGAAGTTCCTTGGGGCGAAATCGAAACTTCAAACGTAATTGTTACAATGCCAAGCGAAAACCTTCGAAAGATTGACGTCGAAGCCTTTGCGAAAAAGATTGATTCTCTTATTTCTTGTATTAAGAACTATCTTGACATAGAATGGGAGTACAAGTTCCGCATAATATTCGATGTCATGGTAGACCCCGGAGAACCTTCTATTTCCTATCCAATTGCGTTTTCTACTTTAGATATCGATCACGTGGTCGAAGGCTTCAATTCTCCGAACAAGTACCTTTTCGATCTTCTGGTGGGTGTTGCCGCAAGCATCCTCCAGACCGCTTGGGTCGACGACGTAACAAAAATGGCCATAAGTTCAGTTGCAGCTTCAGCAGCTCTGACAAAGGTTTACCAAGGCTTCAGTCCGATGCTGCTTGAAGACGTTGAACTTCCTCCTCTTTTCCACGAACTTTGGGAAATTCACATCAAATGCGACGAAACTTTGTTCGCAAAGGTACTCGCAGCTATCAGGGAATCGGCATTACAACAGAGCGATGTCCCTGAAGACATGTGGATCTCTTTCGTTCGTACTTTGTCTCAAATTGGAAATATCGACTTCTCAAACTTGCTCAGCCGCACAAAACCAATTCCTCTGTCTGTTATTAACTCATTAAGGACTCTGTCCCCTTATAAGATGTAAGTATTTATTGATGTATTGTGAAATAATATATATATTTATGTATAAACTGTTTATTATTCCATTATATACAATCTCTTTTATTACTTTATCAATATATTTCTATAATTTTTCTCATAAAATTATTCAATAATAATGTATTGTTATCCACTTAAGAATAAATCACATTCACTATAAACTATCAATACTCACATAAGTTATAATCAGATCCATCAAATCAAGAATTGAATAATGCTTTTTTTTCCCTTTAAAAAAAAAAAAAAAAAAAGGTAGTGGGGCTTCCAGGCACTTCGTGCCCTCTAGCCCATAAGAAATTTTTCCCAAGACCCAAGAGGAGGACCGAACCCCAGCCGACCAGCCGGTGACTTTTTTGTAGAGCACTCAAAATAGTATAACTTTGTCCGGACAAGTAAGGGTCTATCGTCGCTACAGGAAAAGTTACAGGCGTTCCAAGGAAGTATACTTTGAGAAGCCTTTTTCCCCTTATAGAATGAGATAGGACGGTTATTTTACAAAACTGACAACACTTTGACCGAGTAGTTTTTTGTGCTGAACAAAAAGTGTCATATAAACATCTGTCAAAAACCGCTTTTTAACTTTACTTAAAATGCCACGTAAGCTACGTAAGAATATACGTAAGAGGAAGGGAGCATTGAAACATCCAATAGTAAAACTGACACCACAACAACAGTTGCAACAACGAATGATGAATGACCCCACTATGTTGCAACAAATGTCAAGCAACCCTATGCTTTTAAACCGAGTTATTGGTGCACAGAGTGGAGGTTTAAGAGCGGCACTTTTAGCGAAAATGGCAGGCTATGGTGGAGCTGCAGACGGAACAGCTTATAACCCTCAAAGTCAAATGAATTTGAGTTCACTCAAAAATCAAATAACAGATGTCAAAAAGTCAAACATAGACATACAGAAACAAATAAGTGAAAACGAAAAGAAACTAGAATATGACAGACACACAAAGAAACTCAATGAGTTAAACGTAGAGAAAAAGAAGAAAGAAGAACAACTGAAAGAACTAAGTACAGAGGAATATGCGAAAAAAGTGTCAGAAAAAGCAGCAGAAGTAGCAAAAATGGAACAAGATGTTATAAATTTGAAAAACCATACTACTCAATATAAAGTACTGAAAGATGAAGAAATAAAACAAAAAGCCCTGAAGACATATATGGATAGCGATGAGTATAAAAAAGAAGTTGAAGCAAATGTAAAGGCAGAAAAACTTTTACAGTTGCAAAACCAAACCGTACAATATGAAAACTTAGCACAAGAAAGTAAAAATAACGACGCAGCCATGCAAAAGGCAATGAAAAGCGCAGAATATATAAAAGCTAATAATGACTGGTTAGATGCCCAAGCCAACGCCAAAGCAGCCCAACTTATAGGGTCAATAAGAACAAAAATACAAGCGGATGAAGACAGTTCAAATGAAGCTTTAATGAATGCTGACTTTAAGAACGCCTTCGAAGCTCTTCATAGTAAGGTGAAACTAGTGAACGACTTCTCATCTGGAAAGAAACTAAAGTCTGAAGGTTTCGACAAAGAGTTAAGAGAAGTAGCACAAAATATGACGAAAATAACAGATGCAGCAACGAGACAGGCAGTTCAAAGTGCCTATGACGCCGTTAGAGCAACTGTTGTGGAAAGTCAAGAAAAAGAGTTACAACAGACCAAAACAGACCTAGTAAATGCTTTCTTAAAAACGAAAAGTCAGGTAGGACATTATGCTGCAGATGGAACATATGTGCCAGCTGGTGGAACTTATATACCACCAAACCCTCCAAGAGAAGCACCTGCACCAGGACTACCTAAAACATTTACATCGTCACATGGACACAGACACAGGCATGCACCAAAACCAACACAACAACCAACAGTTCAAAATCCAGCACCACAACCAACAGTTCAAAACACTGCACAGCAACCAACAGTTCAAAACACTGCACAACAACCACAAACAGAGCAAGGACATAAAAGAAGTAGAGAACAAGGAAACCAAGAATTCTTAAAAATGCTTAAGGAAGACTATGGTTACCCAGATACTCTTGACTTTAGTGACAGATATAAAGAAGCTATTAGAAAGTTCAAGGAAGGAAATACTGACCCGAACCTATTTAGCTTTATGGTTCAGCACCAAATGGGATATAATTTCAAACCTGGAAAATACAAGCTCGCTAAGGGATATGATTTAATAGCATATCATCCAAATGACATGGATGAATTTACTCCGAGATATTTGGTGTCAGAGCTAAATGATAATTCAACTCTCTTCATGAAACGCGTAAAAAATAGAGACGGAACGAAAAAAGAAAGGTTTATGAGTCCGGATGACTTAGATAGGGAACTTTTTAAAAACGGTCTCGGAATATATGAAATGCCAGCAGATGAGGTACAAGAAACTCCACAGGAAGAAGTTCAGATACAACCAGACATGGAAGAAATAGTTCAGCAACAACAGCTAGAAGAGCCTGAAGGAAACGAACAAGTCCCTCCTTTGGAAACTAACTTCACAGAACTAGATGAAGATTTGGAACAGCCGAAAAATCTTGACCCTCAACAAGTGTATGCGGGGAATATGGAATCTTTCCAAGAGTCTAAGAAAAATTCGGCTGACATAGTAGAAGAATATCGAAAAATGTTCGCCGACATACAAAAGACTCCAACATCAGATGAAAATATTCAGCATAGAATGGAAGTACTGAAAGAAAATGTACGCAAATACAACAATCCTTTTTACTTACGACCATATAACGTTCAATCTTTGGCTGAACTCGGTGAAAATAAAAGGTTAAATTTCAACAAAACATATAGAAATGAAACATTGTTTAAAGTTCATTCAGAACCTAACCAATATGGAAACAAACCTACTTTTGTTTCTGCAGACTATGGAACTACAATGAGATGGGGTCATAAAGCTAATCCGGATAGGTGGTTCATAAACTTACAACCACAATTCCAAGAAGTTGTAGACGCAATGGAAGTGAATGGTGAACCAGATATAGCTGGTATTTTCAGCGCGGCTTTAATGCCATTGAAAGATATGAAACATGCAGATATTTTGGACCAGTATGAAATGAACATGGCTGATGGAAATATAACACCTGACGTTCTAGAACATTTATCTCAAAGAACTACACAGAACCATAGAGATGGTATATTTGGTGAAGAGTTTAGAAAGAAAGTTAGGGAGAGAGAGAAGAGAACCTATTGTACATGACCTTGCAAACGAAAGTTTACAAAATGTCATAAAAACTTACTTTGCAGACAATGAACCGAGAAGGGATGAATATTTAAGAAAACTCAAATGGACAGTACCAAATGAAATGTTAGTATTGAAAAACATGTTCCTTGACAAAATAAAACCAACTACAGAAATAAATGACGCAAGACTGAAACATTGGGTAAAAGCTTTCCCATTCACAAAAGATATTATTGGTAACATGGAAAGAAAACCAGAATGGCTACAAAAACATATATTTGGAAACGAGCATATTCCATATGGACAAGCTCTGTTTGAAGAGCTTGAACCGGAAACTCAGGAAAGAGTCATGCAAACAATACGCGAAGACTCAAATACAAACTATGACGAAATCTTTCTAGGATATAGGTTACCTGAGATGGGCGACCAGAGCCCAAAGGCAAAAAGGACATGGGAAATTTACAACATACTAGGTGAACATGAGGCAAAGATGCAACAACTTAAAGCAGAGGGCAAGTTACCAAAAGCGACACCAAAGAAGAAGAGTAGAACAAAGTGAAAGTAGTGAAGAAGTAACTTCATCTAGTGAAAGTAGTGGCAATGAAGGAAAAAGAAGAGTTAAAAACTCAGTCAGGAAGAAAGTAAAGCTTGGTACGAGTGGGTTCTATTATGACACATAAATCCAACTATTCTATATTTTTACCCATATGAAATGTACGCCGCTCAGAATATAACGCCAACAGTTTTGGATGCCATGAATGGAAATGTTTCCGAATGGTATAACGAATGCGACAATGCCATTAGAAGGTCAGAAATAGTTCCTGGAACTTACGAATATACAACTGCTGTTTCTTATGGAAACGTAGGTGAGTTTGGAGAAGGTTCTTCAACAACAGTAGATATTGCTTGCGACAGGTTTCATATTATTTCTATTGACAACTCATTCTTATACGTGGAACAAGACATTGAAATAAAACCTTCTGCCAAGTTGTCTGACAAGAAAGGCTGCAATGGAATTTTCTATGTCGGATACCAATATGCTCCAGAAGTTTTCATGGGATATAAGATATATTCTAACTCTGACTTAGTTCAAACAGTAACATGGGCAAACTATGAATGGTTCGCTTTGAGAAATTCAGTACAACCACAAGCTAGAGAACAAACAGACCAGTATGCAAATATTGAGAAAATAAGAAGACTTGACCCTAACGTTCCAGGAGTTTATGTTAACCTTTCTGGTTCAGATGGAACTGCTGCCACTAAAGTAAAACTGAAACTTAGAGTTCCTTTGTCATCTTTCCTCATCTTCAGGTTTTTAAGATACTTGCCAAACTGGGCAGGAAAAATTTCTATTGAACTTACTCCAAGCAAAAATAACTTAGTCATTGCACCAACACAAGACCCATTCACTCTTACAGACGTAATGGGAACAAATAAAACGTCATTCGCCGACTTTTGCAAAGACAAAGTTGACTTAGACTTTGGTTTCTCAAACTTCAACACTGAAGTAAACTATTATTTCAATGCTGCTGGAACTGCTTGGGACCCAGTTAAGTTTACATGCGAAAAATTTGAATGCAAGAGAATAGAAAGCAGACTTGCAGTCTATATGTTGGACCCAGATATTTCAAATGCTTTAGCTGCCAAATATATTGCAGTTCCACTTATGTTCCCTATACACCAAATATCTGTCAAAGACTTTGCAGGTGAAGTTGGAAACCAAAGTGCTGACCCAGGTGCAAGAACAGATATTGCTTTAACAACTGCAATGAAACATGCAGATACTATG